CTTTTATCTTTTCGACAGATGAATTTGATTTGTTCATCTTTTATCTGTATCTTAGATAAAATGTAGTGTTGTTATCTTTATCTTTATCCAGATGATTATTTTTTTATCTGTTCCTAACACTGTATATAATAATTGTATACATTATTATTCTTCGATTTCGTCGTATTGCGCTTTAGAAAACTACGATTTCTGCTCGAAAGTTATCGGTTCCCGAAAGGTATAATATCGTAAAACAAGTATCTACATGAGTTGACTGCGAGAGTAACAGTAACATACGCGCGGTAGTGGCAGAAACGACCATGGTATGTATTAAAATAATTATATAATTATCTGCAGCGTGGAACTTTGAAACAAAACCCAGTCCGTGAATTTCTGCATTATGGTTTCGTATCGTGTCGTATAACATATTAATATGTACGTGCGATATTATTTTCGTATTAAAATATTACATTATAATAAATGGTTAGGTCTGATTTTGTACTTCTGCGAGATTGGAGTGTGCGCGTATACTGCAGCTACAGGATGAAGACACGCAAAAAGGATAAATGCCGCTTGTATAAATTGTTACAGTCGTATGGGCAAGGCAAGCGTATAAGGGCCTCTTAGAAATCACTTACCTACATTGTGTTATATGGTGAAATATGGAATTGGTTCGCGATAAAAATTATTTGTCATCATACAAGTATACCTACAACTGTACGAAATTTCAAATTGGTTCTCATACCTACACATGGGTTGTAAATGTCACAGTACATTATTAAAATCTGACGACAGTAATTTTCAACTAAAAGTTTAGGTGAGATTTTCATCTGTTTCAGAATCAACTACAAAATTGTTACGAACTATATAATGGAAAACTTAATTTAGTATATTTTATTCCGTCAATCCAAATGTATTTTTGTTGATAAAATAAAAAACCTTGTTTGAAACGTATATAAAAAACAAAAATCCAAATCCAAGAAAACCAACTAAAAAGAGAAGTTAATTAATGAGCAAATAAAAACATTAAATGACAACCAAATTTTGATTTAACAATTCGTAAAATATATATGTTATATCCAACCACTTCAATCAAATCATTAAAAACCCCATTCTAATCTATAATGTCATAAAATATAAAATTGCAATGTAGTTTTTACTATTTTAATATTTTAAATTTTAATGCGACTTTATCATTAGTTATTTAATATTTGATTAAAAATTTGAAGAATTGTCTATATTAAGAACCATTTACAACAATAACATAATATTTTGTTAAAAAAACGTCATAAGAACTGATGTGTATAAATTTTATTGTTATGTTACATTCTATAAACTTATAGTGTACATGATATATCATACACACTACACATAAAATATATATTTAAAGGAAGTATCTATATCTTAAAAGTATATTTTGATATGTATGTACTCAATGTTTATAAAATAAATTCCTAACAATGAGAATATACAGAATGATTATAGTGACATGTCAAACATTTTAAACAATAAAAATATATTGAGGATCAAATTTTGCATTTTAATTTTTAAAAAATTAGATGTTGATAATTTTAATTAATTAAATTATTTATAAATATTTAGATTAAAAAACCTAAACAATATTACCACAATGTAAATGATAGAAATTTACAAATATTAACACATAGATACTCCGCGGTGCGTGTGAAGAATTTGTAATTGTTGTTTTCATAATATTTTCAGTTTTAATATTAACTACTAAGTAGGTATGAAAATATGATCGCTAAAGCAAAAATAAAATGCGATATAAACTCGTTTTTTAAAGGTAACTATATATAATATTATAGTGTAATATTTAAGTTACATTGCATTTATGGCAATAAAATTGAGCGTATTTTATTATTATCTCTGGGTGTTTAACATTTTTAGTTATCCTGCATACAATGTTATAACTTAAAAATTAATCTAGTACATATACTCTTTTAATTGTTTTCTACAGGATTTTGAGTTTTCATGAACAATTGTTCGTAACATTTTAAACCCTCTAATATACAATACAGTATATTTATATTTTATATACAAGGTGATCTACCTATCATACTCAATCCTATTTATTCTTTGATAATAGATTTTTCAATTTTTCGGTTAAGTACACACAAAGACTATATTTTGAATCACTTAGATTTTTTTATCTGTTAATGCGTGTCTTGTGGTAGTATAAAATTATTTGGTCAAATAATAGTCGCCCAAACGGGCTATTATTTGTGCAGTTCTCGATTGTAAAAAGAACTTAATATAAGCCCAGAAAACTTCTTAAATTGCGTATACTGCGCAAAAAATCCAAAAATCAGAATTCGAATAATATTTTATTATCAAACGTATAAAGTTTAGAGGTGGCTTATGTGTTTAGTTGATTATCCTGAATATATAGTGAAATCGTACACCACACACGTGTCATATTATGCCATGCGCAAATCATAATACATTGACATTTGTAAAAACAATATTTCACGTTCGTCGCAGCCGTTGACGTTTATTCAATTTAAATATCGAAGAATTCGGTTACGATATATAGCAAGAAAAGTAATAGTGTATAAAGCTTTAATAGTTTGATACGATATAATACGTATAATAATATAATCACCACGGACACGACATTATATAATATACATCCATAATATATCCATCACAATGTATATAAACGTGCGTTTTACATATTATTATTGCTTGATCGGCACATCTGCAACGGCACGCATATCATTTCCGAAACGTTTACGACTCGCGTCACGATTCAGTTTGAATTGAAAGAAAAAACGTAAATCGTTCACCGCGCAGACGAATAATATCATAGCGGTGTATTATATACTATATTAAACAATTGTAACACCAGCTGCGCACATAATATACTATATATATATATATATATATTGTGTAAAACGCCGAAGGCCCTGAGCAATAATTGGGCGAAATATGCGCGATAATAGCGAGTATGGCATAAAATGGTTATTAATATTAATACAATATTAATGCGCGTCGATAAATATAACTAAATTGTATATTGAATCTATATCACCAGTGCTCATTATTGTCACACCGTATAGTCGTAGTTTTTCTGTCTTTATTTGTCTCATCTTACTCGTTCTCACAATGTCTTCAAAGATTTGCTTGAGCTTAAATGAAAAAATGAAAGTTATAGAAAAAAGGTGTCAATTGTTAAAGAAAAAACTGGACAAAAACTTTACACGAATTTTGGAATTTTTAATTGTATTTTAATCTGCTTACTTTATTTTATTATGTTATTATTTGATTAATACTTACTAAATATTATGTTCTTCAAATTTTCGAATTGAAATTTATCATTATTTTGAAATGTCTAATTAATACATTTCATGTAAGTATTTACTAAAAATTAAAATTTATTGTATCCTATGATATTTATTAATTTTCAACATTTTATTTTTTATTATCGGCCGGAAAATGTTATAACCTTGAATCTTAATCATGTAGAATATTGTAAATCTATAGTACGGAATTATCCTTTTTATTCAGTTACATGGAAACCTGCTTAAAATGGAAATTTTTATTGGTCCCGTGCAAATCCGCACAGGACAGGTTTTACTGTATATAATTCACTTTTGATGATACAATTTTCAATACACGGCGATATGGATAGGCAAATTAACAATAACGTGTTATTCGAGTATTTCACTTTATTTATGCATCTCGATAAAGAAATGATCGATATTATTTTATTGTTATTAATACTTAATATACACAAAAATAGTATATCATGTGTTTAGATATAGATTTTAAAATTCTATTACTGTTAACAAAAATGTTGAATGTAGTAAGTAAAATAATAATCTCATCAGTGTGATTATATATTCATTGAATTAATAATAATTTTGAACTTTATCACTCAATATGCTTCTACTTCCGCTAAAACATTTTTTATTAGCTATGTACAGGTTTTTGCTTATTACTCTATTGCAAATAAACAATAACGAATTTGAAAATATTTAAAACGTATATACTTATAATTATTATGAATTATGATATGTATTAGTGTATTACCATGTAAGCTGTTTCTCATTACTCGTTAGTAACACTTTACGCATACAACGCCCATAAAATCGAATTTTCTATGATATCTACTGAAAGTAAAACAATTATAACATTTAAAATTTTTATTGGAAACCTGCAGGCTACAATTACTAATTCCGATTTCTAGTAATTTTTTTGTAAGTAAAAAAATGAAATAGCCTCGAATATAAATTTAAAAAATAAGGGAGTTTGGTATATCAGTAAAATATAAAAAAACTATTCAAAATGTTATTATGCCGAATATAGGTAATCTAAATAAATATGGTTTATCTAATATTGTAATTATTAGTATCTACGTAAATAAAATGAATATGTAATAATATAAATATGGTCGGTCGAATAATATATTACGCTGAATTGGACTTGGCATAAAAAACATTTTAATCGAAACACCACTGCCTGATTTATTAACCTTTAATTTTTATCGAAACGATTTATTAATTTTTTTCTTTTTAGTGCAATAACATATATTTTTAATTTCATATTCTTAAGCAGAATATTTTCTTAGAATAATAACGGTGCGTATAAAATTTGAATTCCGAATGAGTAGTTCATTAGTTATAACATATAAGTACTTAAACTTATAAGCAAAGTAATTAACTAACATTTAATAAAGTAATCAAGAGCCAATCTACAATAAACAACGAAATATAAAACTAAAAATGTATACTATAATAAAAAAAAAAAAAAGTTTTGTTTTTAATTAATTAAAATTATGTAAATATATGTATATATTCACAAAATGTAAGTATATTTTAGGAAAACGAGTGTTTACCTTTAAATAAAATTACCTTATCATGATTATTACAAAAATATATGATGAATCATTAGGTTAGGTATACAATTAATTAAAAACTATGTATTATATTGAATTGACTGAAATTAATATTTATTTAATATATAATGTAAGTAAAATAAAACTAATGTATATTCTTCAGTATGTTTTAAATATATTATAAATTTTACTAAATGAAACAAAATCAGATAAAAAAAAAAAAAAAATACATAAAATTTGAGTTAATTAATAAGCGATAACGCAATTATTTAAATCTGAAAAGTAGTTGGCTTGTAGCTATTCCTAAATATTTGATTTGAACTGTACATCGTATCACATTCCATAAGTTGATAAGTCGTTGCATACTTTCTGTAATGAAATAAAGCGTTGGTTTAAAATGCAAAGTTTTCACTAAAGTTAGGATATTTATAAATTTCACATATTCATGTTTTTATTTATGTACTTATTCACATTGCAGAATTAATTATTAATCCGATTAACTGATTCATCAGTTACAACTGACAATAAATTTTATTTTACATATTTTAAGTCTTTTTTTGTATTTTATTCAATTTTCCTGAATTTTAGATTTTAATTAAATTGTAATAAAAAAAACCAGGTGCTTATTTACATTATGACCATTAGGTACACAAGTAATATATTCTTTTACTCACAGGCGCGTCTAACCACGAATTTTAAACGTGCAGTTTATGTTAATAATATATTCTATTGAATAATTCAATTTTTAATACATTTTATAAAGCTATGTTTAATTTTGATAAGGCTTTAAGATCGTACTTTGATATTTATTAGGTTAATTTGTATGCAATTTCTTAGAGTTTTGAAGGTCATATACATCCTAACCATAGTAATTATTTATTACTAATCATTGTTATTATATTAATAATTGTATTAAATAATATAATGTGAAATAATTAACAGTACAACTCTATAAAATTTTACATAAATACACAAATAAAAAATGTCGAGCTCAATTTGTTAAACCATTCCGAAATATTTTGATGAACTTAATTTTTACCAGTGGAACTTTTTAAGCTTGTCCTACTATCTAAATCTGGGAGTAATCCAAAAATTTCAATAGAAGTCATCAACAAATTTATTGAATATAGTTTATATGTATCTGTTATGAATGTGTTGCTAATTTTTACTAAAGAGGGTTTTTCACTTCTGGCATTTAGATAGGTATGTGTATACGGTTTGAAAATAATGAATTTAAATTATTATTATTATTATTATTATTATTATTATTAATGACTATAAGTATTATACTGACCAAAATCATTGATATGGGCCACATATTCCCAAGCACATGGCGGTGAAACTTTTCGGTGTCAAATCCACATTTTTCTCGAATATGCATGTTCGTTGTTTGCCAATAATCATTAACCACTCTGTCGAAAATCAACAAAATACATTAAATAAAAATATCGGTTGTGGGAAAAAAACCCATCATATGTATTATTTCAATATATAATAAGATACAATAAAATAAACTCACAGGCATTTCTGATGAATTTCCAAGTCTTCTATACCATATCCAAATTCTAATTCATGATTATTCAAAAAATGTTTCCATTGGTGTTCAGCTTTTAATACTGATTTCGAACAAGATGCGTATTCTATGAATTCTAATAACGATAATGAAATTTAATTAAGCACTTCTGATAAGATTATAATATGTAAAATAAGCTCCTAACTATTAATCATATTTTGTATTGTAGGTACAACACAAATATTATGAAAACACTATCGACAAATTATTTTTATAAAATTAACATCTTAATATATTATACATAAATTATATTGAAACAACAATAAAACTATTCGATTGAACTGTTGTATAATAACTAATAAGTTAGATTAGTATGTATAATGTATATTATACCTACTCGCTACTAATATCATTATACTTATTCCATCTGTGATCAGTATAATTACAATATAAGTACTTAGTTAATAATTTAAACCAGAGGAAAGGCAGTCTTATACGACATATAGATAAACTGAATTAATATAAATTCTTTTAGTAAATTAATATTTTATTTTATTTTTAATTTTTTTTTCTTACACTACATTATTTTTTTAATGTGTAAACTTACCCCTCCTGTAATTCCGGCCTTTGGTACAGAGCATTTTTGAGTCCTCATTAACTGGCAAATTATACGTCGTAAAGATAGTTTGTTGAAGATCACTCATATATGTATGACAACTAAATAAGTAAGAATACATACACTTGGCGTAACGTTCCACAATATTGTATCTGTATTTGACAAATCAGAAACATGTATTAACAATAACATTTATGTATTATATTATTGTATAACTATTTACATAGATATTATGTATTATGTACTATATTATAATAGGGCGTACTACTCATAAGTGTAACAATCACTGACACTATTGATATTAAAAAACAATGATGACTCTGCGAAAATGAGTTTAAATTTTTTAAAGACAAATTAAAAGTAAAACAAGTTTAATAACTATGGTCTATAGACCACGCCACTGATGTAAGTCTGTAATGGGTACATTGCATAATGATACACTATGTCACTATGACTATATAATACTACTTATTTAAATGAAGTGTTTAACAATATTTATACAATATAATCATTAATTATTTATTATTATATATGATATATTGGTTTACTGTATACGTGAAGCAATCTTGTAGTTATTAACTTACTACAATATTGCAATAAAAATCACATTGATGCTTCTACATGACTACCTCTATATTTAATACCGCAATACACATAAATCATCGCCTATGTATTAACGTATAAACATAATTTTATTTAAATATTATTTAAAAACAATTTCGCACAATTCTTTAAAAGCCAGTATTAGCCAACACAGTATTACAGTAATACTAATAAAGCTTTTTGGAAACATTTACCACCTTCATTAGATATTTAAATTAGTCGTACGTTTAACAGAGTTCAGTGATAAAGGCGTATTGTGGAAAACAGAATTAACCAGCTAGACTAAAGGACTTAGCTTTCTCAAAATAATTAACAACCCCTACAAAACAAAAAAAAAAAAAAATAATAATTATGGATATAAGAAAAAACTTTGAAAATCTTAAATCAATATAGTAAATTATTATGGTAAAAATAGATATAAATAGTATATGCAATTTAAATTAATTAAGTTATTAGATAGATACTATGGTGTATGGCATTTCATGAACCTATATTAGGTATGTTGTTAAACAGATCTAATTTATTCTCGTTTATAGTCCCATACATAAATAAGCAATTAAGACAAACATTTAGGTAATCTCTTTTTAAACTCTAAGAAGCTAGTACCTACTTAAAAAAACCTTTATGTTGTAGTAAAATATATTTTATCAAGTCTTGTAACTATACATAATATCATATATATTAGAGAGAAAATTTTCATGTGTCACAATTCAAATAAAAGTTTACCTAAAACCCCCTAAGATTTTGTTTTTATAACTGTCTCATTGCGTAACAAGCTAATCAAAAATTACTTTATATTATATTTTATAATACCGCGTGGTTCATGCATTGCTGACACTGCATTTAAGTGAAATTATCCTTTTATCTTGTATGTTTAAAGTTATAAGCAGCAGTTTCGGGTTAAATTTAATTTATACTTTAATTATTATTTATTAATGACAATCCACATTTATAACAATTTTACGTGTTTATTGTAGATGTATTTTTAAAATATTTTTTTTTTTGTTTATAAATTTACCTAGTTCAGCCCGGTGGCCTTAAGCCTGCAGCCAAATCTACTTATTCCCACTGCCTTGCTTGGCTAATCCGGGTAATATCCTTGGTCATAATATTGTTTAAAGTAATAGCAATATTTTAATACCTAATTATTATTTTAAATATTTTAAAATGACATAATTACATTATGTGATAAATGGAAATTAGAACAAAATAAATAAATTATTCATCTGAGTTAAGTTAGTATTTTTCTCCGTAATGTGTTTTAGATTTTAAGAATAAATTTATTATTTTTTAACTATTAAACCATAGCTTAAAGTTCTTAACATTAATCTAACTAAATTAACTCAGTTAATTTTGTTCAATAACTGGCCCATCTTTAGATGTATTCTATTAAACTATAATAATTATTATTATTATTATTCAAGAATATACTGACGGGCAATAGTATAAGTCTGGATATTCGTAATTATCGGAAATCATTTGGAGCAAGTCTGTAATCTTAGGTATGATACTGCAATTGCCCATTTGTTTGATATCTTGGCAGATCCATTCAACCGCAATCTCGGATTTCGCCAACGTCGTCAAAGTAGCTGTAAATAGAGAAATAAAAACCTAATTTATTTATTATCTCAAAAATAAAACGTTGTACCTATAACATAACATTATAATTTATAAACACGTGAGAAACAAATCTCAAATTCGACCATGATTATGTTATAATTTTGTAAAACTAATTATAAGGTTAAAGGTTAATATATTTTAATGCAATAGTACTTACCAAATACGAAAAATAGTTTCAGTATATCTGTAACATAATATTTTATTATATATATTACTATATTAGAATCTTTATTTATTACTTATAATTTTTTACACCTAAATTAAATTTTTGTATAATGTATTGTAAGTGCTGTGTTTATTAATCATGATTAGCTGGTAAAATAAAGATGTATTAATAAATACAAGGTCTTCCAAATCGTGTGTGACAAAAATCGAATAAAAACCAACTGCATAATTTCTATAACCTAGTATGTATTTTTTTCGCAATATTTATTTAGTAAATAACATTTACATTATAAATGTTTTTTTCCAGATAAACACTGTACTTCGTACAATGCATCTACAAGATTCTCTCTCATTCGACCGATTTGATCTCGATAATTCGTAAAAAAATAATTAACATCGATGATAACCGACAATAAATTTAATACAACAATCAATCACCAATAACACTGATAAAAAATAGATATTTACAAAAAAAATAATTCTAATAATAATTGTCAAGTAGAAATAACTAAATATATGTTACTTACTCATGACTTTTGCAGTAATCTGTAATAGCTATAAATTATCTGTTGAATAAGTATGTAACGATTAATACAACAATACTATCCAATAATTTATTAAAAAAACAAACATAAGTAAACTCAAAATAAAATCACAAATTACCTGAGGAGAGAACCGATCTGTCCCTCGAGGATTCACGACCAAAATGATTCTATCGATTTTGATTTTCCACAACCGATTTTAATATGAGCGGCTTGCAAATAGTCTACTGTCTAATGAGGTGGGGCAGGTCAGAATATTATTCGCCAACACAGAATTTTTCTATTATATTTATTATTATTATTATTTTTATTTTATAGTCATAATTTACTATAATCGGTATTCGGTAAATTTTTTAAGATAAAAATATATTTCAATAACCCGTCATTTACTGATGTTGATAAATATTTTAAAATTCAATAACATAATGTCATAATAAAATAAGTAGGCATTTTTCTAAAGTTAAAAAAAAATTTAAACCTAAATAAGAAGAATGAAATTATCGCATAATTTTATTAATGATATTATTGAATAATGTGTTACAATTATCATATTATTTACATTAACTAATTCTGGAACACTTAAAAATTACCTAGTAACAATATTATATTACTATAGCAAATCAAATAGTCACTACAAAATGGGCGGTGGTAAACTCTCCCAATTTTATGGTAAACTCTCCCGATGGTAAACTCTTCCGGGTTAATATTATAGTGAGTCGTTCCATTCGCATTTAAATTCATATTTCTCAAGTACTCATCCATCTTTATTTATATTCATTAATGCTCTAATGGATTTTCAAATTGAAATATATGTTAAAATTCAAAGTTGCAATAAATTAAATAAATCGAATAAAAATATTTATACAAAAAATAAAGAAAAAAATATATCCCAAAAAATATTAGATTATAAAGAAAAAAAATAGATTCCCTAACTTTTTTAAATCTGTATGTTCTTATTATCAAAAACAATGATTTTAACATTTTTACGTATATTTTGTATTTGTAACTTATATTATTATTATTGACTATTTTTAAAAGAAACTTAAATGTATATTGGATTTTTTGAAATTTTATTTTTTATTGTGTTTTGACTATAATATCATGTTCATAGCAGCTAAAGACATTAATTTATATTGTTATTATTATTATTATTATTATTATTATATATGATTGACTATTTTTAAACGCAACTTAAATGTATATTAAATTTATTTTATGATTTGTACTAGACTCGAAAGAGTTTACATGTTTCCGTTAGGTAGTACAGGAATAAATCCGGGAGAGTTTACACGTTTCCGTCAGGTAGTACTGGAGTAGACCCGGGAGAGTGTACCATCGGGAAAGTTTACAATCGCCCCTACAAAATAGTGGACATCTGTAAAGGGGTATACAAACCGATATCACATCTTTAGATGTGGAAAAAAATATACCATTAAGAAATGGCATACAATGCGAATGGTTATAGAAGTAAACACATACCATAAAGGCGTCGGACGACTCGTCACCACAACGGCTCTACCTACCTACCTACGTCCTACACGTAACCGTTGAAACCCTTACGACCATCGTCGTTATAGTCATCAGAACAAGTAGTTTGAGATCTTTTATATTTTTCCCCTACATTGCATAATTCAATTGTATTATAATTTAAGGAATGTAGTGCCAGAGTTGGTGTTACGCTATTATAAGGGGCATGAACCAATTGCGCCTAAAACAAAATTATTATTTAGGGTTAGTATACCAATTGCGCTTGTATTTAAATTTTCCCATCTTCAGATATGAAAATATTAAATATTATTCAATCTAATTCCATCAACATCAACATCGACATAAACAATCGAACACAAAAAATCTTAAAAATTAAAAACTTATTTATTAATTATTTGATTACTGATTTAAGTAACTAGTTATAATATATTTGTTACAGTATCGGGAATTTTACAAAACATTATAATTATAACGCACATTTGATTGTACAAGTATGAATTTGAGTGATAGATGAAAATGAGTTTTCATTATCGTTGAATATTTATCAGCCTAATTATGTCATTGCACAATTTATACTGTACTATATAAGATAACACATTGATGATTTAGCCGTTACTTATTATATCTTTTTGTTTAGTATTAGATTGAGTTGTTTGACAATACAATATGGATTATTTTAAGCAAGCTTTTAATAAAAAAGCTAAACCCTTGTTACTTCTTGATGATTTTAAGTTTCGAAAATATACTAAATCAAAAAATTAAATTAAGGAGAGGTGAACATTTAAATCGTGTCCTTAAAATTTATTATCTAATGAAAGTTAAACGGTGTTTTTTAAATCTAACTATAATTGATATTCGATGTGTGTATTAATTTATTATATTATTATAACTAACTAATAAGTTTTCATTAAGTATTTTAAAATGTTTAATTGAGTACAATTGGTCTATCGACCCTAAAATGTATAAAGCGCAATTAGTATATAAAATAGTAATTTTAAGCACAATTGGTAAACTTCTATTATAAGCATACATGTTCGAACGTATAATATAACTGGTTTTTATTGTTGCAAGAATGTCTGGATCTTGCAGCAAGTACTTAATTTTATACTAAACGCTTTACAATTACCAACCCCTACAATATTCTTCAAAAATAAGTCCTTAGCAACCAAAAATATTGAAAATATATAGTCATAATTTTGGTTTTTAATTTAAAAACATTCAAGTATTTTTTTTGGCGAATTCAAATATTAATGAAAATTAGAACAGCAGATCAATTTTAGTTATTATGATGTAATTAAAGATAAATTAATCATAAGGACTTGATACTTTTTATCACAATATCTATATTTTATTATTTTCTACATACATTGAAATTTTCAAATATTTAAATTAGTTCGTTAAAATTAAGCAAATTATTCAACAAACATGTTCGGACCAACAGTACGCCACACTATCGACTTAAAAATTAGTAACAATAATTTATAATATAGCCAATATAGGTAAACTAAATTAATAAATAATAAAATAATAAAATAAATGATAAATATGATAATACACTTAATAATTATAAAATATAGGTGATTACATTATATTTTTGTATAATAACATATTGCAAATACACCTAATGTTAATACTTAAGAGTGTTTGAATATGGGACGTTGGGGTGAAGGTCATGAAATGCGAGAAAGAGTTAGGGTCATAATTGTTGATAACAATTACGGCTTAGTATAAATATTAAATGGTGCTATAACGTTTACTAAAATTATTGATTTTAGAATATTATACAAAAATAATATTATATATAATATTATCATAATTAATATTCTAAATTCAATGCTAAAAACAATCCTCATAATATTGTACTTTATTATTATTATATTACACGACCAAAAAAATGAAGAAATTGAAGTATATTTTAATTAAAACTATAATTTGACCCCTGTATAATTCACTTCAATATTATTCATTAGCCTTATACACAGTATTATATTCAAATATAAATGATAATAATAAAATATTTACCATTCCATGATTTCACCATCGATACTTTGAGTAAATACAGAATACATATTATCTACCTGCAGGGTCTACTTTCAAATTTAGAGGTGATATATTTTTAAGACGTGTGTACAATGTAGATTTAGTCGATTTAGGCATGTAGGCAATGTACTGAAAATAAATATGTGTGTAAAATATTATTTTTTTAAAAGGTTTTTAACCATAATATTTAATAAACCGGAAAACATCGGAACGATTTGTCATATTCACTTTTACTTACCTTACAATTCGGAAAAATTTTCAGTTTTTTTTTATACAAATATGTTTGGCAATTTGATTTTCTTTCTGTTTTTAGGTAGTAGATACACAAAATTATCTTGTAGTGATTTAAGGCCCCTAAAATTATTATATATTAGTTTAAAAAAATAAATTATACTTTTACAATAATTTCCAAAATAATTATTTCAATAAAAATGTTAGCTAAATTATACTAACATTTATTTATGTAAAGAATTATATCAACATACTCATTACAGATAATCAATTTCATCAATGCCGTGCTAATAAATTAATTTTGTATTTTTTTTTTATAATTTTTGGCTATTTATAAACTACTAAAAAGTTAATTGTGTTGATTAATCAGCACATACAATAGTTTTAAAAACATTTTTTTTTTTTTTTTTTTTACATCAAACATTTATTTCATAATGATACTAATAGAACTAACTCAATTCTACCTCAAATCATAGTCGTAGAATTTTTCAATTTTAGAATGAATAAAGTTAGACACGTAAGTACTGCAGTTCTGCAGTACTTTAGGTATCATGGGTCACTTTATGGGTGTGTTAAATTTGAATTCAATGACATTTATCATTGTGAAAAAAATCAATGCTAACCGTAGACGGTCTGTCTTCTGTCAGCTAATATTACTAAGTATATTTCATGATATATTTTTTATTTTTTTTTTGTATAGATAGCTATTAAAGTCATTTATTTTACTTTTATTATTACGGTAAGTTGATATAATCTTTTCAGAAAATATTGAATTTATTATATTATTATTTATTAGTATTAACTTTTGAATTTTGAGTCAATGCTACTTTACCGTAAAATAGTGTGAATAGATTCATGGCATAAATATCAAGAAATAACTTAAAATGAATCTATATATTTTGAAAAATGCATTACATATTTACATATAGTAAAAATAAGTATTAGATTGTATAGTTATTTAATATTTTTATGTTACACCAAATAGTTTGTCTTAGTTTTTAAATTGTATGTGATTATTAGTTTTTGAGTTATATCAATAATAAAAATTTGATTTTGCTGAGTAATTTTGTATATAAATTCTCGTTTTTCCTTAACTAATTTTTTTTTTTTTTTTTGTTTTTCAGTAATTTTGAAAAAGTACTGAAAATTAAAGTAGAAACTTAGTAAATTACTATAAAAAATACTCCTTATCCACAAAAATACCAACTAAAACAAATTTTCCACCAGAAACAACACACAAAGTTGAAAATCTAAACATTTTTACTGTCCTAAAAAGGTGATGTCAAACTGAAAAACATTTTTTCAATTTGAAATTTAAAACATAATTATGTAAAATAATTTCATTCATCACTCATTCATTCTGCTCAAATTCTAAAATTAACAGTCATATTTACAAATAATAGTAAAAAAACAAATACATATAGTTATATACATTAGGTATACATAATATATCTAATAAACAACTCCTATCCACTTCATCAAAACTACATAACATTTTTTACCTTTATGGCTTATACACATAATACACATTAAATAAGTGACATATTATCAAATAAACAAAATATAAAAGGAATGTGAATACCTATATTGGCCATATAGTATTTATATTTTATAGTCATATCTCAATATTTTCAATAGGCGAAGTGAAATAAATGATTTCAATACATATAATATTATAGAAATTAAGCACTATTTTATTTAACTTACAGTATACTTTTTACATTTATTACTTGTATACTTGTTCAATTTTTTTTTAATATACCTAGGTAGATGGCAAGAGGAAACGGTTTCAATTTATTTTTTTCTTATTAGTGAAGTTTTAATAAGACAATATAAATAATTATTAATGAATATGAGTTCAAAATAATTATTTTTTATTGCTTTTAATGTGAAAGTTTATATCTATTCAGTATGCATTTATGTCCTAATAAACTAATTTTTAGTATTAACAACTATCATTATTTACAGTCTACAAGACTACAACGTATATTATTATTATTATATTTAAATAGTAATTAAGTAGATACTATTGTTATCCTAAAAATATTCATTTTCAAGATTTTAAAATTTTATAGAAAATATGTTATTTTTGGAATTGAATAATATGTATTTATCTGTTACAGTAGTTGTTAGTACGTCTTCGCATACAAGCACGTATTTGGTAGATTGTGAAAACAACACGTCTCGTGATAGCTCTAACTAGTTCCTATATTGATATCGATATTCCAGTTAATGCGGAAACTTGAGTCAATTATCCGATTAATATATTCTAAGTTAATATATATTTCCTATACACAATAGAGATTTTTTTGTTCTCTACTGTAAAGTCTATAATGGTATTAAAACACATTCACTGACGCTATCTAGGTCAAGTATCTATAACTTACAAGTATAAGGGCAGCAAATATTTAATGTTCATGTTATGAAAACAACATAAATCCATTATTTTTGAGACTATACGCAATTTTAGTAATCCTAAATTTATTTAAATGTTATTAATTTAAAGTATTTTAAAAGTGGTCTCTACATGTTAGGTTAGGAACAATAATAATGGTTATTATTTGATGCGTTATAATAAGATTTTATAAAAAAACATTATTTACAATCGATTTACCAAATTTTCACACTTCATAGAAGAGAATTTTATGTGAAACGTAGCATATTTATCAGAGTCCGTCTTAGGCAGGGGCCAGCGGGGCTCCTGTCCCGGGTCTCACGCTTTTGTATGACATTTTGGGTCTCGCGTTAACGAAATCATATATTATTTTATACTATAAAAAAAGATCTTTACTAAAATTTGCCCCAGGCCTCCTTCCACCCTAAGGTCGGCTCTGATATTTAATATTTTGATTTAAAAAAAAATAAATAATTTGTTTTGTCTTTATATTGTCTAGAAAATAAAAACGTAAAGACTATGTAAATGTCTCTCATACGCTATAGCCAGTCCTATGGGCTATGTCTCATATCCTGTCGTTATGTTTTTATTTTTTTGATAACATTAAGATAACCCAAGATATTCATTCATTCAAGTACTCATTTTTTGTACGTAATATAAATGTACACAAATGATTGTAAGTTTGTTTACTTCCCATCTAAGTTTTTAAGCTAGGTACACCGACGTCGAATTAGCTCGTAAATTGGTGTAAAAACCGAGATACGCTTTTTTATTAATATAGATTATTCATATATAGGCAATCAAAAAAAAAAAATTAAGATTGGAAGATATTAAAATAATAGCGTAATGGATTTCATAGACATAACCACCCAAATTGAAATATGATATCCAACTTATAATTATATAAATTAATATTTTTTGAAGTAAACTACCTATGCATTACGTACTATCTAGGTATATAAACATAAGAGATATAAGTGTACCTACATAATTTCAAGTTTCGACTTATTGTTATTGGTTACAATGGTTATATGATTACAGCAAGATATTTTTGTATACATTTTTAACATCTGGTAAAATTATTGAATGTATAAATAAAATTATTATATATTTATAAGTACTTACCTTAACACGATAAACAATAAAAACAAGCCCATAACGGCCATAACAAAACTATGGAAAAATAATATTATAACACGCAAGTACAATGATAGATAATATTATAATAATGTTTAAAATACGAATGGACTAATAAAATACACTACTTTTTATTTTATTTTATATAATAGGTACAAACGCGTTTAATAATATTTTTTTGTTATTAATAACTAACTTGTTGTAACATGTAATATTTTGATACGTTTTAATTTTAATTAATAATAAAAAAAAAAAATAATAATTTTAAAGCACATACTACACAATAACGGATTAATAATTGATAGGTATATTTATTATTTATTATATAACAATATCGACATAAGATTTCTAAATGTCTCGGAGACAGTCTAATGTCCAGCGATTGAATTTGGTGTATCATTCTTAAATCTTAATATTAAAAATGTAGATAAACTATTATAATATTATAACGATGAACCTATTATATTATTAAAAGTGTAGAGTCACCCATTTACCTAGTATTAACATTTTTTTGCATGAAATTTTCAAAAAAAAAAATGCCTTGGAATTTTTATTTTCAAGATTGGTACTATGTTATGCTATATTTCTTATCACAATTATTGAGATAACTCAGCCGTCGTTCTCGTTCATAATCACAAGTTCGCGAATTCACGAACACCTATTGAAGAGTGAAGATAATGAAAAACTGAAAACTCTATACCGAATGGCGAATACTGAATTACTGATTGCCGCTGCTATGACTAGGAAGGTTACTCGTTAATTATTGTTATTAACATTAGTTTTATAGTATGATATTATGAATTATGATGAATTGCTCTATCGTATATTAATTTAATCCTGTAGATTTACATTTAATCTTATATGCCAAAAAAATTAATTTTTTGTACCTAATGCTTTTATAAATTCAACGTTATTTTAAAATTTAATTGGTATTGTAAGATATACTTGATAAATTTGTTCGCATCTGGTTATTAAAAACTAAAATGTATATTTTTAATTACTGTCTCCGGAGTAGAGTTAACTCCTCGATAGTTTCTTCAATGAAACGATCGTATACTTTACTGCACTTGAGAACTTCAATAATTCACAACAATCGCACGCTACTACCCATCAACCGGTTGCCTGGATATTTGATGCTGGATCGCTGTTTTATGAAAAAGATGGGCGAGAAACCCATTTACGAAGTATACAATAAAAAAGCCGCTCAAGACAAGGTTTCACCGAGTGAATATGAACTTATCTACAGTGGCACTGGCCAAACATATGCACGGTGTTTGGGTGGAATAACAATTTTTGCCATGATAGTCTTACCATCAACTTTTTTTATTGCCTATTTGTATGTTTTGCTTACAGAGGGGAAAGTTGATTTACAAACATTTTTAGATATATTGCTTATGCCAAATTCAACAATGGAACTTATAATAATGATCTCTACATTGTTTCTCCTGAAAATAGCGTCATACAGTTTTATTTCTAAATATGTGTTAAGAATTTACAGACACAATGCAAAAAGACAGTATGTAGGAGTGTACATAAATCCAATTTTGCCATGGAAAAATATAACTTGCACATTTGAGACAGCTATTAAATTGCCTAATAGTAGACAAGTTTTCATTCCTTGGCATAAAGAGTATTATCGACTAGCTGGTCACAAATCAATTGTCCTAAGAGAAAGATTCAAAAGACCTATAGATTATGACAGAATGCTTGGTTTAGTAAAGACATTGGATGAATGATTAATTAATTATTATTAGTCATTATTGTAAAATGTTCAAGTTTTTGAAATAAATGTATAAAAAATATATATTTTATTTGAAATTTTTATTTTACCATCTCACTCAAACCATAAATACAATTTATTTTATTTTCTAGTCATGTATGAAGATGAGTTTAGCTCTTTTGTATTACAGATTGAATTCTAATAAAAAAAAACATTTAGGGATGCGACAATATTTCTTAATGTATCCTCTAAACATTTTTGAAGTCAAGAGGTTTAATATTAATATATTAAAATTGAATAAATATTTATTATACATTTTTGAGTATAATTAGCAACATTATTAATTTCTAAACTAAAATTATCTAGATAGCTAATGCATAAAAAGATTTGGAATTCTCTTTAAAATAAATTTTTCTTCTTGAATGTATATTCAGACGAGTGTATTTTGAATAAAGTAAAGCCTATATTTTAACTAATACATTTTCCTTACTGAATGTTAAATAGCCAACAGTTCTAAAGTCAAAATTAATTTAATACGAAAATAATAAATTAATTGTTTAAATACATCATAAATAAATTAAATAATTTAAACAAATATTTTTTTCTTTGATATTAACAAATCTTAATGATAATAATTAATAACTAATAAGTATCGAACAGATTTAAATGCTCTAAAAAATATGAATTAATGCACTCATAACAGAAATTTTTTTTAAAAATGCTCTTAAAATTATTTAATTATTTTTAACATTGAAAAAATTTGTAAAGTTATATACATTTTTATTCTTAGGTATATGCCTAAACATAAGTGTCTACAATACTTCCATCTGACATTGCATTTATGTAATCGATAAACACATAATAAACAATTTGTTAATTTAATTTTTATCAAATTTTATTCATTTCTTTATAAAAATGACTTGAAAACATGAAAAAATGCCAAAAAATGTTCTTAAAAGCAAAAAAGTATTAAAATACAAAATTAAAGTAATATTTTTTAATTCCTTGATAAATGAAGTGAACTTTGTACATAGAAAACAATGTTTTAAGACATTCAGAAAAAATGCAATTTGTATTTAAATTCATTCCCTACTAATACACATCATATAATTATGAGTACATTTTTTCTAGACAGACTCTACTTATAAACATTACAATACTTTTATTTCCATCAATGAATTGATGATTTTACTAATATTTTCTCCATAGCTACGCTAAATTTAAAAGTAACCAATTGTTGCCAAAGAATGAATCAAACAATAAATCACATCTATGAAGGGTTCATAATATTGAAGTCTATACCATAATGCAATCCGATACAGTTACCAGAGTTAATAAAAACAAAATATTATTGTTAAGAATTATGATCATTTCAATAACCATCAATAATTACTATTAGCTTTATAATCACATATTGAATAAAATCCAAGTTTAACTTAATCTATTTGTGAGATTCAATGATTCCTTATTATTTATTAATAATAAAAATAAATAAATTAAAAATTTAATTTGATTTGTCAGAATAGTAAATAAAATTGAATTTTTTATATTTTACATCTTAAATATTTTATTTTATTTATAACAAAACTATTTAGGTTGTAATTACAAATTATCATAAAACTAGATTTGTAATTTACAATAATAAATAATATAAATAAATACTTTAATTATTTTATTTTATTTTAGTAATGCCAGCATCTTGTGTTTTTTGATACTTCACTGCTTTATGCAAAGCCTCCAAAAACAGATAAACACCATCACATTGTGGTTGCCTTACATATATAGAATGTGCTATAAAAGTAATTTTCTTTAGAACACGACCACTTAAACCAACACTTTCTCTAAAAAAATTAATAACAAAAAAGTCAATGTAAATATTATACTTATTTATAACTAAATTAAGTTTATTTATTTTTTTTTTACTTAGAAATTTGATATAATTTTTGAGTTGTACTAAGAACTTCTTTTTGTTCACCATTAATATCAGGAAGACGATCAAATTGATGATGTTCTTCTACATTTATAATCAATTTCACCTATTTTTTAAATAAAAATAAAAAATATATATGTATAAGTTGAATGCATTAATACTTATTATTTACTTTGATAAGTTCTTCAATAGCTGCTTTAAGTATAGTGTAAATTGCCATTTCTTGTGGAGGATTGATTAACATTTTTATGTCAGCTCGATCAGTAAATGCAGTATCAATGGCTTCAGTCACATTTGATGTTGTTAAAAATATAACATTTGGATACCTTTAAAAGACATTCATGACAAACAAATAAGTAACAACAACATATTTAACAATTATCAGTGATTATGTTTACTTTCTTAAATTATCAAGCTGCGTGAGTACAGCATTTACAACTCTTATTGAGTCTGATGGTTCAGTACCAGACAACACTGCATCTCGAGCTCGCGTTAAACTCTCTACTTCATCAATTAATATGAAAACCAATGAATCACCATATTCCAAAACACTTTTTATTTGTTGGAACATAGACATTACCAATGATCCACTCTATAATAGCATTAATTCACAGTATGTAACAATAATTTGTTGTTTATTATTTAAAATTTAAATTCTTACTTCAGAGAAATATTTGGACAATAAATTGTGACTATTTATTTCAATAAATTCAAAAAAATTGTACTGTTGGCCTAATCGTATTGATAATTTCTGAGCAAGGGCCTTACAAATAGATGTTTTGCCAGTACCAGGTGGACCATGTAATAGAATTAATCTATTATAGCTAATAATATTAGTATTAACATTATGACGTGCAAAATTCATCCCAGTCTGCGCATAGTTTAAAAGCTATAACAAATAAGTTTTAAAATAAATAAATTATATATGCATGGTAAGTATTATGTATTAATATTTTGAAAAATTACAATTTCTTTAACTGGTTCCTGAAACACTAATGACTCCCAAATACCACAAAAATCTACATTAGGTAATATACAACGTCTCATTTTGCATGTAGCTTCATCGGATGTAGCATCGTCTACTAAACCACTATCATCTAATTTGTAAAAATAGATTTTAATTAAGTAAGTATCTAAATCTAATGATTCAACTCCTGCCTGTAAATTATTCTTAATTATAATTCAGTTAAAAATTTAAAAAAAAACTTATTAAATTACATACCTCTACTACCATTTTTTCAATATTTTTATCATCATTTAAATTTTCAATTTCACAAATTTGTATAGATTTTACAAAATCAGAAAGTCCGTCAGTGACAAACGTAGTGTGTATAGACTCTGGGACAATCGGTTCAATGTTTTTTAGTTCAAGTCTTATGACTTTTTCCAATTCAGGAATTTCAACAGCTCTATACAAACATTATTAATAAGCAATAGAGAATAGAATATTTAACAACAATTAATACAAGGAATATTATGTAATCATTTGCATTTATCTTTAATACTAAAATCATACTTATTTGTTACATAAAAATTGAAGTTTAATTGGTATACTTCAATAGACAAATTGTATACTAAATGTTTGGCTAACACTTAGAATTAAACACATAATACATAATATTTAAATATAATGAACATACTTCTCGGGTTGTAATAGCACTTCCACGTGCAAAATATTCTTCATAGTTAATTAGAAAAATAAATGATTTTATTCTTAACGTTGAAACGACTGTTATTCAGTATTTCAGAATTATACTTTTATATTACAACGAAAAACGTGTATAATATATTATTAATATTTGTGATTATCGAATAGTTTTATTATTAAGAAGAAAATTTAAAAAATGAACAAATACAAAATATGATAAGATATGTAACGGAAAATTATTCAAGGAGAATATAAACACTAATACATCTTAAATAGCGGTCATTCAAAATAACGAAAGTTAAACGCTGCATAGTATTTATAAATTATAATCAATATATTCAATGATTTCATTTCAATGGTATTAACTATTAAGTACCTATAAATTTATAAATCATACATTGTAATTTTGTGATGTCAAAGTCAACGATTCTTAAATTCTTCGGGTGTTCAGTAAATTTAAAGTACTATTTGACCTCTGCCAAAATTGATTAAGTTGATTAATTACAAATTAGGTATGGCTAAATGGCTATTATTAATTAACAATTACCATTCATATCATTTTAGGCCGATGTTTGAGTTTATATACCTATAAGTATAATATCAGTTATATTACTATTTATAATTTCCTATATTAATTAAGTAAAAATTCTAAACATAACAATTACTTCTTCGAAATGAAAATAAAGAACTTCCGTTTTATAGCTCATAAAATATACATTATTACTCATAGAAAAAAATGAAAAAAATTCTACTTACTCATCAGTAATTTTTTCAATATTGTATATAATAATAAGGCTATCGGGCTATGTGTCTACTGCAGTCTACAAACCTATCTATACTCAATCTAATTGCAAACAGGTAAATACATAATATATATTAGGTATCTATATAATTATTATATTTTGCGTTTATGTAATTTTTTGTTATACATTTAAGTTTTAACTGTCACTAAGTAACCAATTACTAATACAATACAAAAATATAAATTTTAAATTTTAATATAGGTTTACAATTTCTTATAATAATACCAATATTATTATTTAATAATGCAATAGATAATACAAAGGTACCTACTTAAATCTTTTATAAATATTAATATATTATAATTTACAAAGACAGAAAAATTTTAATTTTAAAAATGACCAATAATAATTATACGTGCAAAATTGAAAACAATAATACTCTGGCAAAAACAAAAATAAACGATTTACACAAGGAGTAAGTAAATTAGGTAAATCAACTCCGAGATTTCGTTTAAATTTAATATTTATAAGTTTTTAACAAATAAAAAAACCAAACAATTTAAATTTATAAGTAATTACCTACAATTGACGGTTTTAAATTTGATATCGTTGTACCCACGTGAAATATTTGTTAATTGATTTACAGTCAAACATGTCATAACTTATATCAAATAGAAAATTTGCGTCCTTTAAAATCGATTTGTGTTGTTTGAAATTTGAATAAACTGATCGATTATCAAATTAAAAGGCAATAACGTTAACTAGTATTTATACGTTGGTTTTTGTAATATTGTTGTTACTAAACAAGTTATGAGCATTTATAAATTACAATTTATAATATTTTGATTATTTAGTCGTTACTCGTTATCCGTTTGTATTTGGTAGGTATACGTATATTATATCACTAAGTACTCATGATTCGTTTAAAAATTGAAATATCAATTATCATAATAAAACCAATATTTACACGGATAATATAATTAGTTCTTTGGTTGATCGTAAGTACCTACTTTTAAGTCTAATACCTAATCGATTTATCAATTATTAATCTATTTTAACATAGCCATCATCACAAGATTGGTAGGTACCTTTAGTGGTTCTGACGTCTGTTCATCACAAAATCGCTATTGTTTGTATGGCTAATACATTAGGTAGGTGCGTCGTACGGGAGTGACGTTAAACGTACTCGTCATTTGACTATTTGACATTCCTATTTCCTACAGTTGTCAGCTAAAAATAAAATGATTTTGATAATTTAATCTTAGTTGAGTGGTTCTTGCCTTTTTTTTATATTATGTAAGTCGTAGGATATTGATGATTGATTGTGTGGGTTTGAATCATAATTTTGAGATAATATAGTACCTATACCTATCTTAAATCGTGATTGGTATTTTGAATACCTATTTTTTAATAGGCTATAATTCTATGTCTCGAGTTTAACTTAGGTAATAATAGTAATTTCATTTTTTAAAAGCTATTTAGTATTACACATAAAAGTTATATTTAATATACTTAATATATATTATTGACTAAATTTAAGATTTCCTTAGACTTAAATTACTTTAAGAATATTTAGAAACAATATCAGTTTATAAAGTGTGTAAAGAACACAAATATTAAAAGTTTAACCTCTGAAATATATGAATTGGCTAATACAAATACCTATAGAAATATACAAAAAACACAACCCAAAACATGTCAAGAATTATGGAAGTGTGGAGTATTGTGTTCATCAATTAACCCAATAGAGAGGATCAAGTGTTATGAAAATGGGTGTTGTCTCATGTCACCAATACCAACTACAGATGATTTTAAATTTAAACAATTATTTGAGCCATTGTTTTCCAGGAGAACATCATTTGCAATTTACAAAGAAGTATTTAAAGTGGTAATAATAAGCTCAATGACTAAAAGTCATTATTATGGTAGGTATTACTTTTTTTTTCATACAGGATCAAAGATGTACATGTGTTAAGTTCAATGGTATTGAAGATGAATGTAAACATCCAGAATGCAAACAGAATTTAAAATGTTTAAGTCAACCATTAGCAACATGTTCACCTGCTGAAAATTGGAATAAATATTATGGACAAACTTTATGAATAAATATTTTTTTGTATATTGATTAAACAACATTTATGATATAGGTAATAATTGTATTCTATTATCAATGGTTTATGGTTATATTATACTAATGTATACATTATTTAACTAGACTGTAGCATAAATATAATTTGTGATGGCTGCAGTAGATTATGGCCGATGAACAATGGACCCAACAACTATACTAACATTACTAATAAATATATTATATAAAATAATACTAATTAGTTATTAGTAATTACTAATTACTAATGAATATATTTTTAACTAAGAAATTATAGATAAGATTAATATATTGGCGTTTGTTGATTTAAATATTTCAGGATTTAACAAGTCTAGTATTCCTAGTATTCCACAGTTTATACTGTAATATATAATTTTTCATCTGAGCCAAAAAAAAAAAATATATATATATACCTAGTTAAAATACAGTTTTTCAACAAAAATTTTATAAAAATATGATTTACATAATTTAGCAATAATATTTAATATTCAGTAGTTGAACCTATGTTGTAAAAATTGAGTTGATGTCAATCAATATTCAATATGAAACTGATTTTTATAAATAAAATGATCCAGAGTAGAAGAAATTGATAAAACCTATCTTATCTTTTAAGTTTATACATTTTTTAAAAGATAAAAAGATGTTGAATTTGTCATATCTATAATCTAGAAGTAAAAATCAATGTAGTTAAAAACAGTAATCAGTATCTAGATTCTAGATATCTTTCTTCAAGTTTTTAGCTTAATCATAGATAAAACTGTACTTCTCTTTTTTTTTTTATTAAAAATATATTTACAATCTATTATTTAAAACAATAAGTATTAGTTTAAAAAAATGTTTATTATTATATAGCACATGAATAATTTTTGGAGGGGTACTTGTTCATTAACAACACCTCGGAATGTTTTTTTTTAGTTAGTTTTAACTAAAATTAACACTAGCTAGATGGTCGCTGAAGCAAAGTACACATTTGACTGGTAGAACAGGATTTTCTGGACAGGATACAAAAGTATGAAAGTCACCACAGCGAACATATTGTAGTTTTCTATTGCAGTAGGATCTTGTATGACTATAGTCTTGGCAGTTCATACACTGGGGTGATTTATTTTTTGATTGAGGGGCTTTAATTTTTATTTTTGTGTAACAGAAAGAATTTATTTTGAAAATATCACTGTTGTTCAGTGACAGTTCTAAGTCAACAAAGAATAGCAGCAGTGAAGTTTTAGTTTAGCTGTATAGGACATTAGTTATATTGCGAACAAGGAAACCATTTGAATGTAATTTATCTTTTATGAAGTTTATAGGTGTTGATGGGTATAAGTTTTGTATGACAATTCTGTAAGACTTCTCTTATTTAACATATATTTATATAGGTATACTTTATTCAGAAATTACTAAATTTAAATTATTTGTATTTAATATTTCCATATTTTAAATTTGATTATATAGTTCAATAGTTCAAATGAAATAACATTACATTTCATTATAATATAATGAAAAATATAGAATAGGAGTAATCATTTCGGAAAGTATAATATTAATGTTATAATTGTAGGATATTATTTTGGTAAATAAAAAAAATGAATACTGTTTTTTATCATTTACTATTTTTTATAACTGAAGAAATGTTTACATACGTGTATTTTAATGATAAAAATGTTGTATACCTACAAAATAATGTATTTTCTAGATACAAAATAATTGTATTTAATCTAGAAAATCATTATTTACTTTAAATTACATGAATACATTTATAACTTGATGTCATATCCAATTAAGTGCCTCTTTCCTATACATTCACCGACGTAGAACCACATATATACTTCAAGAGCAATGAGTGAATTGAGGGTAGCATCCTGTAAATAAAATATTTAAAATTTATATAAATAAGGATATTGAAAAAATAAATAAATACCACAACATGCATAACAGTCCATTATAACAAATTGTTTGATTTTAATAAATAAACATTTATATTGTTAATTGTTGGATAATTTATAGTATTAAGCTACTTGTTTGAACAATTAATCAATAAATACCAAATTAAAATAGTTGAAGTTTAAACTATGAATAAAATACTGCTATTAATGTATAAGAACTTTAGAAAAACAATTCAAATTTTATTTTTTTATTAAAAAACCACTAATATACCACTATGATTACTCAACATATTTTACAAAAAAAATTTAAATTATAGAATGGTTTAAATGTAAATTATCAAGATTAAAAAAAAAAATAAAAAAATAATGAATAAACGAATAAAACCCAAAATGTTTATATAAATGTACGTTAATAATATTCAAACACTGTTACTTGCACATAGAGGGATTTACTCACACAACGCGATTTATTATTTTTGGAATACAATATTTTTCCTTATTAGAATAATGAAGTTGTTGTTTATCAATAAATCTATTTTTAATTAGTTTATTGTAAGGTACTACAAATTTAGGGAAAATATAACTGTGAACACGAAAAGCTTGATTTGAAAATCTGGTAACAAGTACATGGTGTATACCCGCATATCCATACCAATACATCACTGCTATTAAATAAGTAAAATATCAAAAATTATTAAAATATTTACGTAAAAGATTCAAAAGCCTAGGCCCTAGAGTATAGACATAATAAATTATACAAAACAAATAAATACCCATATTTTTCATAGGTAGTTAATTAAATAATATAGTTCATTAATTGTTGTATGTATAATAATTTTACTCTTAATATAAATAAAATATTTATATTTTCATTTAATAATTAATTATTATAGGCAGTGTTATAGTTGTATTGGCAAATAAACTTACAGATATTTATGGCAACAATAAATACAAATATTGCATATATCCATGATGTATTGATTTTTAGTTGCAAAGGTATCATCTATGATGAACAATTTTTTTTTATTGGAAAATACAATAAGAAATTATCATATGCAATAATTGGGCTGATTCCAGCAGTGTGTATGGTGAAACATGCCTTATAACTTATAAATTATAATATCTATGACACATAGGTAAGTTCGTAATTATTAAATTTTAAATATTTACCAAGTAATGTCATCAAATGGACTTAGTTTCCCCCCTAAAAAAATGGATTTGCTACGCCCCAACTGGAAGCAAACCAGTAGTTTACATCTTAAAAATAATGTGAGGAAAATTCTCACATGAGAAATGATGAGTTAGGACTGTTAATACATTTTAAGATATTTAACATTTACAAAAAGAAAAATTATTTTAATAATATATTATATTCTTTTTAGTTTTTATTAAAACATTATGAAATACATGAACCTACCTTGACCGTAATATTTTTCCAACGTCCAGTTCGAGCTGTTTGTATAATTTTAGAAATCTCGTTTTTTATCTCTGGTAAATCAGAAAATTTAGGTGGAGTTAATTCCACTTTCGCATATTTCACAAAAGTTTGTAAGTTGGGCTTAGCTGAGGCGATGATTGCTAGATAATATAAAAGAACAGTTTTTTATAATAATTACTTTATTTTTTAAGAATTAATATTTGAGATTCAATTAAGGAACTACTAATACTTACAGTTAACTAAACCGATTTTCTTGACTGCCCCACTCATTTTGATGATTTTTTAATTTAGGAAATAGATTTAAATTCTTGTAAAATAGAAAATGAAATCGTAGAACATTAACGAGGTATTAAATCCAAAGGAGTACGAATAATAAGTAACTATGAAGGGTGAATGTCAAGTCGTGATAAAATAACAGCTGTTAAACAAACAAATTCAATAAAGACGTTTTAAATAAAAACCAAAGATATTCTAAACTAATCTAATCAATTTTGATATTTGGCGCTATAATTAAACGAATATAAAAATATAAAATTAATTAATATTTTGCGCAAGCATATTCTATAAATTCTAATATTATAGTCTATAGGTAATGGTATTTAAATATTTTAGTGAATGGTAACATTAAATAAAATATCGTAAATTATTATATATCCAGCAATTCAATCAAAAAGATTCAGGTAATTAACTAATTAAACACAAATAATGTCTCATAAATAATATTAGATATTCGTAGTTGATTTCATAACACAAAAAATTATTCAATGTTCATAAATCATAGTTGCTATAATCTTATTTATTATCAAATATGACTATAAAAACTACAAATGTGTTGATATTAGATCAAAAAAGTGGAAAAGATGGACATTTTTATAATAATAGGTACACAGGTGTTGAATGATAACTAATTCTTTAATTAGTAGTTATTGTGGGTAACGTATCTATTAACGTAGATAATTGTGATAACTTTGAATTCTGCTATGATAAATCATTGCATACGAAAAATAATTCTGTGCAAAACCGGCCCGTCAATCTGTATTACTAAAACACTATGTTTTACTATTTATTAATATTAGGTATTGCTATTAAAGTAATGAATTTCATTCCTATTAGTAATATAGTATGTTGAATTCATTTTCGCTACCAACATTACACTTAAAATTGTTATTATGTATCGTGTAAAATATTAATACAAAAACATTTTATTAACTTTTTGAACTAGATAATTATTGTTGAATGTTCGTGATTTCAGCAACATAAAATTCAAAATCTTATAAAAAAAAAAAAATGAGTATTTCAAATGCCAATAAATAATTTTAATTAGTCTAATCAATAAATATTCATGGATTATTACTTATTAATAATGATACATAAAGTAAGTAGTGATAAAATATTTTAAGCTTCTATGATCAATACTTTTTAAATAATAACAAAAAAATAAAATAAATTGATGAATTATTATTTTAGGATTTCATAAAAAATTTAATTTTTAGAATCTAGATGTTCATAAATCAATAATCATATCTGTGGAAATACACTCAACTTTTTTTATTTCAGTGAAAAATTTTTTTTTATCAATATTTGTAGATAAAAATTTAAATAACAGAAAATTAAAAATTTCTTTGAATAAGTAGTTCAGAAAAGTCAAAATATTTTTCTGATCACTCATTTGCATTGCATAAATATTTGTTTAAAATTCAAGGAACGACAGTTCTTTGTTTTAAAATGACATTAATTACAACAAAATCAATTTTGAAAAAATTAATTTTTGCGTATTTTCTTATTTTTCCTGCTGTTTTTTTTAATTATTATAAAAAGTAATCAGAATTTTTATTTTTATCTTCTAAAATACCAATTAATTCAATTTTACCCACTCAATATTATAAAATTTAAACATTTTTACTGCTTTAAAATGTAGTAATTGACACGACTCCCCTAAAATAATAATAATAATAAAAATAGACATCATTATAAAATCATAATCATAACTCCATTCAAAATTTAAAATATGAGTTTTAATGATAAAATAAAGACAAAAACATCATTAAAATTTCTTAAAATCCTCAAAAATTATAGACTATATGATAAAATATTAAATTTAAAAAGTGTTCTTAAATATCCCAAACAACAGCAATTATACAATTTTATAATTCGTATAGTTAAATTTATATTTGATAATAAAATAAATTGCAAACAAAAAAATTTAGAAAAGTTATATTATTGGTAAATATTATACAATAAAATGTATTAAGTTTTTTATAAATAGTTAAGATTTTGTATTATTTTTTATCCACAGTTAAAAGCAAATGGCCATTGTTAATCATTGTATTTATTTTCACCTCGTTTCCTGAATAAACATTTATTGCATTTTCAATAAGAAAAGCACACTGATTTAAATATGAATTTTCATTTGCTGTAGAAACATTACAGTTGTTATAAATAAATATTTTAAAGTAATACAAGATCGTATTTAATTTTCCATTAGCTATGATTGGAATACTCTTAAGTAATGACATTTCCTGTGATAATTGTTTAGGTAATAACGTTAAACATGTCTTACAATCTGACAGACAGATATCTGTCACTAAATGTCTGAATACATCTAAATGATGATTAACCTATTCAAATAAAATATTAATAAAGTATTAATTAATACATTTTTAATTAATTTATTATTACTTACACTATAGGTATTTATTAAATCTCGAATAAGAGGATTACAACTATTATTATTTTCATTTACTTTACTAACATGTGGTAACCATTTTGAATTGACTAATTGACATTTTACTGAAATTTTTTCTGGCAAAATAATTCCATTTGGTTTTAACATTTTTCTAAAATAAAATATTTTATAAATAATTAAATTAATAATTTGTTAAATTTAAACAATGTTTAACTTTTTAATGATTCAATAAATTATATTAAATTGCATTATCCTTACTCTGTATACATTTGATTTTCAATAATGTTGATATTAAATTCTCCATAAAAATTAATGTAATTAGCAATAATGACATCAAACTTTTTCATTTTTTTTTTATCAAAACAAAAGATATTGGAGGAAAAATTATTTGAATTTTTAAAATTGTTTAACACCTCTGTCAGATTTGTGTCAATGTAATAAATTTCAATATCAATATAATTATTAGTGGAAGTAGCTAATGAAAGGATTTCTATGCCAAAAATTGGAAATGGACATGTATCCAAAATTCTTATATTTTTAAGAGATTTATTATTTTTATACCTAGAACAAAAGTTAATTTCAAAGTTTTAAGCATGATAATAATTATAGTACAGTGTACTATTTTCAGTTTCTGTTTTTACCACTGTTTAGCAGCTTTAATATAACCTTCAACCTGATTAATATCATTTAAAAATGCAATTATTTCTTTATCTAATGGTATAAATTTTGGGTTGCTAATTTCATCATCTATTTTCAAAACATAATGATCGTCTTCCCAGTTATGTAATACACAGAGCTCATCTCCTTGTTCAACTCTTCTATTACTTTTGGAAACAAACAGAGCTTGTTCCCAACAACAGTTTTCATTTTTTTCATCGATTGTATTAATAGATATGTCTTCCGTCAAATTAACAACAAACCAAGAAATAATAGCATCTACATTTCCTGACTGAGTTATACTGTACTTCATACTTTTAATGTTTACATTTTGAGTGTTTAATAATTTATTTATTTGACTTGGATCATTAAAATTGATATCCATGACTACTTGAGGTGCAGCTAAAAAAATATAACCTCCAGGCAATTGGCTTAATTTTTCACAGTCATAGGGTTCATTAGTAGTAGAACATAAATTAAGTTGTTTAAAATATAACTGTTCTTTTCCATAAAATAAGTTTCTCTTACGAACGTAAGAACATTGAATAGGAACTGCATATACTTTTGCGTGATGTGGAATAACACATCCATGAGGTAGTTCAGGGTTAACATTTGATTTTGGAGGTAAAAGTAATTTATCCCAAGCATGCTTAAGAGTAGTGAGAATATGTTCACCAAATAAACCAGCATCCATAGTTTCGGTAACAACTAAAGAAACTCTGAAATATATACCAAAATTGTAATTAATAAATCTAATAATATACTTATAATTTGTTTACCGTTCATCAATATTATCTGGAATACACAAATCATTTGAATTCATATTAAATATTTTAATTAAATTATGTAAATTGTTTCGTGTTAAAACTTCAGATGCAATTTTTGACATAATTTTAGAATAATCACAAGCATAGATTCTATCAACTGGATATTCTGCTGCATATAAGCTAGAACAAGATTTAATTTGATAAAGAAAAGTTTTAACTAACATAAAAAAATATTTTTATATTTATTAACCTTAAAATAAGAGATCCACATCCAATATCTAATACTGTTTTATGACCTTGATTTATTCTATTGCCAATAGCTTTTTTATAAGCTAAATTACGTTTTGAGTCATTTAACATTCTATAATGCCAGCGTTCAACAAAGCGACTATTTACAATTTGAATATTAGTTATTGCTGGTAAATAAAATTCATTAATATCAAGTGCTTTCATAACAAAATTTTGACCTTCTTCATTGTAACCTAATCTAAAATAAAACCAATAAGTTATTTAATTTAAAATTTGAATGTAAAAATATATTAAGACACAATTTCATAAATTGATTTCTTAAATGAATTATAAGATCATAATAATAATGTAATGCAATGAAAGTAGAATGCAGAGATTCATTATTTTTTGATGCATCATATATATAAACAGTACTATAAAATACAGTCCAGAGTACAATAAAAACCTTTTTTTCAGATTTCCAATAAATAATTATAAAATTAAAATTAAAATATTATTATAATTACCTAATTAAATGAGATCCTAAATTATTGAGCAATATTTCATTATTTGGAAATAGTTTTAAAGCATTTTCATAACAATTAAAAATATCAGAATAACATTCATCATCTTCAAGCTCTTTTCCATAATAACCTAAAAATAAATGATAAAAGTTTTTTTATTGCATACTATAAACATTAAATAGGTATTATGTAAAATAATACAAAAACGTACACAGGCATGTAATGAATTTTTGTTTAATACTATCTTTGAGATCTGGTACAATGTTTATTAAAACTGATAGATGAGCAAATGCTGGTCCATTCTCTAACCGATCCATTGCTAAATCAGCTAATCGAAGTAGTCTACTAATTATATTGTTGTTTAATGTATATTCCATTTTCTCATCAACTTTTTATAAAATTTATTTCAATAATACATTTTTTTTCTTCTAATTTTTAGTAAATAAATTATTATTGTAGCAATAAGTACTGTAATTAAAAATAATTATTGAATTAATCATTAGGTATTCCAGCTGAAAAAAAGGTAAACAATTTTAATTGAATAAAAAAAAAGATTATTTGGTTCTTTACATTTTTTTAATATTAAAGGTCATTATAATCAATTTTCACTAATTTAAAAATAATTGCATAATTTGAAATTCTGCTATTTTATTCATGTTAATCTATAATAGTTTAGTTGAATGTTGAATAGCAGAATATGTGAATTCTCTTAATTTAGCTAACTATACTTTTAATAGCAATATTTATTTTTATTTAAATTTATAATTTATAAAAAAAAATTAGTTGAATTATTAATTAATTTTTTTTATGATAAAATTTAAATTTGTATTACATAAATATGCTTCAATCATAATTGTCACTAGTGATTACTGATCATATTACAATCATTTAATGTAAAAAATGTATAGTTTCATTAGATTTCATCTCAAAACTTTATGTAGGTACCTATATAATATATGATTATGATTTTTTTCAACTGACTTGTCACTATACTATGTCCAAAAATAGTTTTAAAAGTGAAAAAAGACAATATAAAATGTTTACTTTAATTTTACTAAAAGTAATTATTTTTTAGAAAAATATTGGTTTATCACAATATAATAAAAGAAATTTTAAATTAAAAAAAAAAAATTACATCAAGATATATTTTAATGTTAAAAATATATATATTTAAGTTGGATAAATACAAAACTAAAACTGAATACCTACTATATTATAAAATTGTACATACTATGCTTATTGTAAAATAAACTTTTATTTTTGTATGATAACTTATAATTTAAATTATAATAAACCTCATTTAGTTAATGTTACATTGACTTAAATTTTAAATGAAATGCATCAAGCATCAGGTAAATTTAGTACAACAATTGATTTTATAATATCAATGATGCAAAATTTTATTTTTATAGTCTTAGAACCTGAGTATAGATTATTTTATTGTAATTCAATAAGTATTAACCATGGAGACTTGAATTTTTTATTAAATGAGTATTTTTTTATATACTTTTATATATATATTAGCAGTTTTTATACATGATTTAATTTTTAAAATATATTGGATCTTTTTGAACTATTTATAGACATTTAAAATTTTCTATCTTTTAATATTTATTTATGTAGTAGTAATAAAAAAAATCAGAGAAGTATAATATCAAGGCAATGGTTTTTCATATCAGTGATGTAACCGTCATTAAAATCAGACTTATGGATTATAAAATCTTTGACTTATGTTTATAATTTGCATTTATATTTAATTAAACACTAGGTTAATTTATCATACATTTTTTAAATACAAATTATGCGTTAAATAATTTTTATGATTTTTTTTTAATTAAACTCGTCTTAATATAATATGTTGCTTAAGTGGTATGAAGTAAAAATATAAAATAAAGCCATAAAGATAGAAAACTAAATGAATCTCACGTAACAATATTATTATATCAAAATGGTTTCATACATGTATTAAATTGTCTGTAGCAGAACGTATTTTAATCTCTTGTGTGGTAGTTCATCTTCATAATATTCAATCTCTAAAGTTTACTTTAAAGCCGTGAAATTTTAATTATATTTATTTACAGATGAATGATTAAAATTAATTTAATATAAAAAATTATAATTTTTCTGGTTAACAATCTTAGTCTTTACGTATAGGTATAAATACTTTTTGTTTTACTACATAATTTTTTTTAAATTCAATATAGAGTAATATAAGTATGTCAGTATGTGTTTACATATAGGTATTGCCTGGTACAGTTTTTTGATATCTATTGAAAAAATTCTATAGCGACGTGTACACATTCTACTTGTTATAGATACTTATACAAACTGTGCAAATACTACTGAGCACACTTAATACTTACCTACAGGCTACAGCACAGCACAAAATATTATTCTGTGCCTTTAGTTTCAGATCACTGAAAATAGATAGGTACTATACATACTGAAATACCTATGTAATGTAAAACATAAGATAATTAAATACTTTTACATTTTAAAGACAACTTCTTTATCTATGCATGGCACAATGACATTAACCTGTTCTTACTTCTTTTTCGTATAATATGGTCATATTATTTGATAGTTATTACTTATTACTTAATAGTTATACTTGGTACTTAGGTAGTTATTCAATACACAGTACATTTTAATTGAATATTATATTACTAGACACGAACATAATTTACATAATGTAAGATAAGTTCAATTTTATATTTTTATCATAAACCGCGATATTTTATAACATGCTGTTATCATTATTGTTATGACGTATTTAATCTTTTCTGTGCGTTTACTATCGTTAAAAAAATAGTAAATAAATAATATAAGCAATATATTATGGCAAATTTACATTTTTTTGACAATAGCATGTGCTTAATGGTCGATAAGAAATTACGAAACATGTTCGAAGACGGATATTTTATTATACTTTAGTTTGTGACGTATTAACTGTAGATTCTGCTGGTAAAAGCCAGAACCTTATTGTCAATGTCAACAGTGATGTTTTCATGAACCAGTCAATGTTTGTCTGAAATTCTTAAACTTGGGTATCAACGCTTATACCTAGTAAGCCTAGTATATAAAAACAAAAGCGTTTGGTATTTAGGATTTCAGTAAGAACCATACAAATTGAGTTTCCAAAATGAATCCACAAGAAATTTCAATCCCAGTTCCTTGGGGACATATTGCCGGTAAGTTTTGTCAGTCTTAAATTAATAATAAGGTATTATGTAATCCAATCTATTTAGTATTTAATTATTCAAGTACCTAATTTCATATTAAAATGAAGTTCAGTTCATAAAACCGCTATATAAGTATAATATTTATTATATTGTTGAGTTTGACAAATGTTTATTGGTAGGTAGGTATTAATATACAATTTATACTTAAAAATTGCATTTGGAAATCATTATTAAAAATATTAAGACATTTTTAAATCTCAGCCTTCAATAAGTAATTTATTGAGCGTTAGTTATTTTTTAAAATAAATATTAAGTTATAATAGCTTTGTTAGTATTAAAGAATTAAAATTAATTATTAATTAAATTAGAAAGGTTTTAGATAGTATACATTACTTATATTAGATAGGTATTATTTTATAATAATTAACATATTAGTACAACTATGGTCCAATTACACTTAGTATTACTTAAAAATCACTTTTTTTATATAATTGATTATTTTACTATATTGTTATTTATTATAAATACCTATTGTATCTAGTATTTAAATTTATTTCATAGTAAATAGTACATTTTAATGATTAAGGAATTTATAAATTAAGTAGGTATTATCTATTAAATATCTAATTAGTAGAACATTACTTCTGATTATAGAATATTTAATATAGCCATACCTATAGGGATATTCAATGTTTGAATTTTCTATACTTACCCCGAGTGTATATTTAAACATAATCATTATTTAAAAAAAATGTAAGGTTTTTTTTACACTAATACCAGTTATATCTGTACACATTACGGTAGTCCTTATTTTTCATTTATGATTTTTTTTTAAATTACTCCCCCTCCCCACAAAAAGGTTCAATTACAAAAAAAAAAACATTCAAAAAAAGTTTCATAAAAATTCTTTATGTTTTTTAGTGACCATTTATTAGAGATATTGTTAACTCTTCAAAATGTATTTAATCAGTTTCAAAAATATCAAATAGCCAAATTTTATAATTTATTCTTTCGATCGTTTACTCGTATGGATGTGAATTGAAATCATAATAATATGGTATATATAAGTTGGTATAATGATTTCAAACAATAAATAATTAATATATTCAAATTCAAAAATAAAAATATTTAATAATGAATGTTATGAATTTTTTTTCGTAAAATGTTTCACGAATTTCAAGTTTTGAAAAATCCCATAATCGACTTGATGAATATATTTTTATTGTTTACTTAATAAAAGAAAAATAGAAAAATGAAAAAAAATTGTCCCGGTGGTCAATAGTTTTGATACAAATACCTACTTAATAACAAACTGCTGTAAGAAAAATTAACGATTGTGTATACGACTGCACAAAAAACCCTATCAAACGGCGTTTTCGCCGAGCTAACGTCGCTGGACTTTTTATAAGCGTCGCATTCCCCCCCCCCCCCCCCCCGCTAACAACACAAACCAGTGAACGTGTGTCGATGTGTTTAATTTCAGCCAAAACTTGGGGCCACAGTTCCGACGCGCGAGTACTCTGCCTGCACGGGATACAGGATAACTGCGGTACGTTCGACAAGCTCGTCCCGTTGCTCCCGCGGGGTTTTTATTACGTGTGCATGGACACGCCGGGACAAGGGCGATCGTCGCACTACCCTCCGGGTTTCCGGATAACGCTCGAGTGTTACGCGGTGGCCGTCAAACGGTTCGTCGACCACCTGCAATGGGACCGGTTCAGGTGTATCGGGCACAGCATGGGCGGCATGATCGGCAGCCTGTTCGCGTCCCTGTACCCGGAACACGTGGCCAGCCTGGTGATGATCGACAGCGCGGGTCCGGCGCCCGTGCACCCGCAGGACACGGTGAAGTGGCTGAGGACGGCGTGCGACGGTCTGCTGACGATCGAGAGGAAGGCGGTCAGCGGGTCGCCGCCGTCGTACACCCGCGAACAGGCGATCGACGCGCTGATGACGAAACGGCCGTCCAAGCTGACCAGGAGTTCGGCGGAAGCGCTTATCGAACGGTCCCTGGTGGACCGTCCGGGCGGTCGCCACGCGTTCTGCATGGACCAGAGGCTCAAAGTGCCTTACAGCCAGATGTTATCGCCGATCCAGTGCGCGGCCGTGGCGTACAGCATCCAGTGTCCCGTTTTGCACTTGGTCGCCTCGGACAATCCGTATCAAAAGAGTCCGGACGTTAAATTGTCGAGGAAAATCTACAAGTCCAACCCGAACTTCCGCGTGGTCAAAGTAGACGGGAATCACGACGTGCACTTGAACCATCCGGAAAGGATAGCGGGTTTGATAAATAAATTTCTACTGCAGACCGAACGCAGCAAAATTTGATCGCAGATGTGGTTCTGGAGTTGAACCACAAAATTGCACTGCCCGTGCATTGAATACATTTTAATGCATCGTATATATAAGTTGTGATTGGTCGGGGTTCGGGGTGTTTATTATTATTATTGTTATTTTTTTTTTTTTTGGTTTTTTTATTATGTTTTGTTTTTGTATACGGATTTTATTTTTATTTATTTTTTTTTTTTATTTTATTTAAAATGGTGATATGTATAATTTAGCGTTATATAAGTATAAATACGACCTATTATACCGAACACAAGAAGAGATCTTTTTACCGTGTCGTTAACTGAACAATAAAGAATTATGACGTATATCTATTATTATGTTTTTGTTTTTATTCGTTCGTGTTTTACGCTTTCGTGAACCGCACTGCACGTCGGTTTCAATAATGTATTCGATTAGTACCTACCTAATTATGCTGTACTATGTAACATAGCCAATATAGGTATGCCAAAGCTTCGCGCCGCGCTGCAGCCAAACTCAATGCGATAATATATCATAATATTATATTATTAATATGCGACGACATTATAAAAATTACCGATTTTTCGTTCTCCAATACACTAAACACCTAAACATTCGTCGACATTCGATCGACTGGTTTTTATTTTGTTTTCCCCGACTGCAACGTTGTGTTTTAATAATATGCGCAGCAAACGCCGCCCCGGCCACACGTCCGCAACACATAACTCACTCGCACTGCACGACACACGACACACGTCACGGCCGAAATTGATATCGAAACGCATTTTGTTCACAGCAAAAACGTACGGCGACGACACCCGTCCGCCCGTGCTTTGCGTGCACGGCATCCAAGACAACTGCGACACGTTCGTCACGTTGCTGCCGTCGTTGCCGGACGGTTACTATTACGTGTGCATCGACCTGCCCGGCCACGGCCGTTCGGACCACTTCCCCGCGCACGTGCCGCTCGAGTTCGTCAACTATTTGGCCGCCATCAAGTGGACGATGGACCACTTCGGCTGGCCCGGGCTGGCGTACCTGGGACACAGTTTCGGCGGACAGCTGGGCTCGTGGTTGGCGGGCGTCTACCCGGAACGCGTCCGGTGCCTGATCGTGCTGGACACCATGGGGCCCCGGTCGGTGGACATGGGCGACACGCTGGCCACGGTCCGCGGCCGGATCGACGACGCGCAGTCGCTGCACCGCCGGCAGTGCGGCCGCCGGCCGCCGGCGTACACGTTCGACCAGGCGGTCGCCAAGATGATGGCCGGCCGGCCGTCCAGGCTGACGGACGAGTCGGCGCGCGTACTGGCCGGCCGAGCGCTGGCCCGCGCGGACGGCGGCGGCGACCTGTACACGTTCGCCAGCGACCAGCGCCTGAAACTGGCGTTCCATCCGGTCATGACGTTCGACCAACAGAAGCAGATCCTGTGCGGCATCGCGTGTCCGGTGGTGTTCGTGCTGGCCGACGAGAACTGCGGCCGGTACTCCACGTACCTGAAGGACGCCTACGAGTTCTACAGCAAACGGTCGAACGTCGCCGTCCGCGTGGTCAGCGGCGACCACGACGTGCACCTGAACCACCCGGACAGGGTGTTCAGACACGTGGCCGATTTTCTGCTAGAACATTATAAAAGCTGAAATCCTGTACAGTGAATGCAGCAACAGCAGCAGCAGCAGCACGTTACGCGCGGAATATACAAAAAATGTATATTAATAATTATATTAGCGTAATATATTATGCTGTGATAGACGTTATTCACTCGTAGTGTAATATTATAATATTGAAATATAATAAAATATTTATTTATGTACATCATCGTTTATACGTGGTCCTAAATTACGAGATCCAAAGGGCTATCGAAAAGTCGATTATTTTTATACGCACCTCTATTAAGTTTGAAGTCGCGGTGATAACGATGTGCAGAATCGTCTGCAGTTAGGTTTACTGGTAACAATAAGAAGATGGATAAATGAGTCAACGAGAGTAGTAGGTATGGCAAAAAATACAAATGACGAAGTGTCGATGACTCGTGTAAGAATTATATGCACGCTGCGTTTTGACGCGTGGAACTTTACATATAGGCTCAACCAGTCGACACGGTAAAAAAGGAATTAATATTTATTTATATAGTTGAATATTATTATGTCGTTGGATCAACTAAATTTATGATAATAATAACTAATGTGAATCCGTAAGAGTAATTATTTTAATATTGTTATGTTAATATAGTAATGATAAACAATATTTTTGTTCAACCTACTATACATTTATGATGACAATAACTAATGTGTACCTGTTACAATAATAATTACTCGTTAAACCAACTTGTTTTATGGTTGGATTTAACAAAAATTATAACTACAAGATTTTAACGTTTTAATTTTGTAAATTAACATAGGTACCTATTTATTTAGTTGGAAATGATATTGTCTTAACATTAACGTTTACTTATATTATTTTTGACACGTTAATGTGTCGGAGTGCGATTACGTTTTTAGCGCAAAATTCAGTTTCTCGAGAAGATCTCTTACATCTCTTTTTATTCACAAAAAATTCATCTGAAAAACGTAAACTATATCCTTACACCTCGCATTTCAGCCTGCAGGACTCTGATCAATGTGTATAATTGTATTAACTTCGAATCATTGAACCTATTATAATATGTAAAATACTCTGCGAATATTTCCGCAAAATTTCGTTTAGATTTGCAAGCCACCCCATGACGATATTTGAGAATTTTAATTACTAATAACTAATAAGTAATAAGTATTGGTAATGTTTGTGAAATGTTAACTAACGTCAAACAAAAATATTTTTGAAAAGTTACAGAAACATTCTTATTTATCATATTCCGTCGTCTGTTCGGTTGTAACTATACTGGGCGTTTTTGAAATTAATGAGGTCATTAGTTTATTAAACGCACTCAACGCGCGGTGGTCCAATAAAGAACACGCCACCCTCAAGTCCCCTCCCCCTTGGATTTGTATCGGAGCTTTGCGTTTCTGCTATATATATATAGGCACAGTGGTGATATTTATACTTGTCGTCGTTAAACGTACGTGTTTAAATTGAAGTACAGCGGTTATAAGCCGCATTAGCTACTCGCTAATACACACAACGATCATCGATGATAATTTATCATAGATAGCCCAGCTCCGACATCGCGTGCGTGCCTTAATCCAATCAATGCAACACACTCGTCCATACGACTCCTATTTCCTATAACATTAACAATAATCTCATATTAGGTACCTATACCTTCAACATAATATTATTAACGTTGCGAGCAGGGGCGTCATTTGGGGGATCAGTGTGTGCGGTTGCACCCTTTACTTTTCAAATAATATACTAATTGGACTGCGCCCCGCTGAGATAATGCTCATCATTAAATCTTCTTAAATTGTATTTTATTTTTTATATTGACTTTTATCAATATTGGTGTATAGTAGTATGTATATACAGTCAATTATTATAATAATGATTGTTAATTATTTAATATATATTTTAGTTTTTTAATTGATTTTTACTGCATTATTCGGTCCATGCGATGTATGGAAATAATTGAAAGCAGGATAATGTGTACATAATATATCTATTTTTATGTGGCCTGTTGAAATTTCAAAAAGGCCTGCTTTAAACCTCGCACGCCTAACAAATAACCTGAAATGACGCCCCTGGTTGTGAGGATATAATGCGATGACCGACGTCTTCTTATCCACGATTTGCGTATATTTGTGATTTGTAGCGAAACTTTGGCGGAAATCCGGTGCAGACGGCGACCGTGGCGAACGGGTCATGTGCCTACACGGTTATTGGGACAACTGCGCGTCGTTCGATGGACTGATTCCGGCGTTGGACGGCGGCCGCACTTACCTGTGCTTCGACTGGCCGAACCACGGTGGCTCGTCGGGCACGCCGCCGGGCGTGCGGTGGACGATGGAGAACTACGCGCTGACCATCAGGCGCGTGGCCGACCACGTCGAGTGGTCGTCGTCGCCGTTCGCGTGCATCGGCCACAGCATGGGCGGACAGGTGGCCTTGCTGTTCGCGGCCGTCTACCCGGAATGCGTGGCGTGGCTCGCGCTGCTGGACACGGCCGGGCCGGTGGCCATGTATCCGGAGGAAGTGACGTGGAGCATGCGCCGGGCCGCCGACGAACTGCTGAGACTCGAGAACAAGATGGCGGCCGACCCTGCACCGCCGCCGTCGTACGTTCGTCCGGAAGCGGCGTTGGCTCGCGTCAGACGGCGGGCTTCCGGGTCGCTGCTCGACAAGGGGCCCGCCCGGTCGTTGATGGCCCGGTACTTGCGGCCCGGGCCCGGCGCCGGCGAATTCCGGCTGGCCAACGACGTGCGGCTGAGCGTGCCGTACAGCCAGTGGTTTTCGGCCGCACAGCACTGGGACGTGGTGAACAACGTCAGGTGTCCCGCGTTGCTGATCAGGGCGTCGGACAGCGACGCGTACTTCGACGACGTGTACGGCGTCTTCGTGGACATGTACCGACGAAATCCGAATTTCCGCACGGTGTCGGTGGACGGCAATCACGACGTGCACATGAACAATCCGCGCGCGGTGGCCACGCTGATCGACAGGTTCTCGAACAACAAACCGGGCAGTAAACTATAACCGCTGCTGCGCAGGTACCTACCTACCCGCGAACGGCGTAGGCACGATGCATCATTTATAATTACAGTGAAATTTCTATATAACGAACTTCCATTAACCGACATTTTCTGTTTAACGAAATATGTTTAAGAACTATGACCTTCAGTGTTAATTACACGTAAGTTTATCTCCAAATAACGAATCTGATGTTTCTATATAACGAAATAATTATTCGATAAAAACTGGTTTTTGTAAATGTTGTCACTATCAAATTTTAGTCATAGTTCTAAAATTGTACATGAACAGTGTATCCGATAAAGATAGGACACCGAAGGTAGGCAAACTGATTAATATTTCATTTTACTGCAGTACTTCAGTTCCAATATATTGATGCAAACGAGTTTACTACGAATTTTCTTTCGTTTTCTCTTCGTCCGTACAGAAAAAATGTCGAAACGTTAAAGAAGACGAAGAGGAACATGCAGTAGTGAGTAGAACAAACCAAACTCACAGAAGAAGACATATTAAACGGTTTATCAGTGGTAAGAATTAAGAAATGGTTTTAGACAACAATAGGAAATGTTCCCGATGAAATTTTTTTTAAACTTGACGATATAAAAACTTTTTATGAAAAAAGGACAATTTTCAAAAATAATAAGCAAACAAAACTCATTGATTATTTCTTTAAATTACATTTAAGGTTAAAAATTAAATTAAACTGTAATATTATGATGTTTGATGTTGTTTTTTACATACATTACATATAATTAAATTTAAAAACAATTTTTAAAAAAATACGGAATTCTATTTAACGAATTTTTTTTGTTGCTTATTCGACTTCGTTATATGGAAGTTTCACTGTATATTATAATAGTGCCTCGAAAGCAACACCGCAGGGCGCAGATTAAGAGGGTAGCCTGCAGGAGGGCACGGTCCCGGGGACCATTGGTTTTGGGGGGTTCAGCTCAATCTCCAAAATTATTGTTTTTTTTTTTACAAATACGGTGTTATATAATATATAAAATACGTGTATAATAAACATTTACTATTAATTATTTATATTGCCTTTATCTATTTTTTTGTGTTGTACATAATTATATTATACAACTATATTATATAGATACACAGTCTTTAAAATGTAGGCATAATTTTTTTTTTAAGTTAAGGTTGAAAGGGAGACCACTAAGTTTATGGTGTTTTGGGTCCAATTGATCCGGGCTCACAATCGTCATCAATCGTGAGCACACTTTTTCGAGGTCAGTGGTGGTGTAGTGTATAACGCATATTATAATGAAGTATGATGCACATTAACGCGGTGATCTCGAAACCATGATTGTATGCGTATTATTGATAAACATAAATAAATTGAGTTTAATTTTTTTTTAATAGATGTCTCTTAGTTTTTATGTTACATTTTAACGATGAAGCAATAGTGCGCGTCAACGCGTCCATAGGTACCTACTACGTATACTTGTGCCTTACGTATAACGGTGCAGTTGTAAGGATTTTGTCAATCAACTTGTAAACAAAAACTCGAGTTTTTAAAAATTGGGGAGTTTAAGTAATGTATTAATGATTGTCTATCGAGTATCATATTCTTATATTATGGTAATTAAATTTTTTTTTTTTCCCAATTGCGTACCCAAATTTTTATAAAAAGGATTGTAAAATAAAATTTTCTAAATTTTTTCATATTTTTAAAACATCTTCTAAGAGTCCCCGGATGCCAATTTTGTCTGTATGTATTAGTTAATTTTTCAAAAATGTTCGTTGTTTTTCCGTACGTGCTCGCGTGAAAGTGTATAATTCAACAAGAATTCTTTACCGAGAAATTAAATCAATTCGAAATTAATATGCCATGTAAATTATTACTCAAAAATATCAGTTTTTACAATAACGATTAAACACAAGTTGTTAAAAAATCAAATTGTTTATGTAGTTAAGGAATCGTTTTGTTTTAGTCATACCTACTAATTATTCTTAAAAAGCCACGAAAACATAAGAAATCTCCTTCAATATAATATTTTTTTTATTTTAGATATTTATTATTATTTTTATTTTTTTGATATTAAAAGATTTAAATCACCAATAACACACATAAAATTAAATTTTAAAATGCATGACATACTTTTTTTAAATTTTTTATTCAATTATTTATTTATTTACAAATGATTATGAAAACATAACTGATTAACAAAATAATATAATACAACGAAAAATGGATTGTAAAAAATTTAAATATTTAAATTAAATAATATACACAAACAATAAATAATTAAATGTTTAATTTTGACAAAAACTAAAATTCTGAAAATAATTACAGAGATTTGCATAATACATTATATAGTAACAAAGTGTGCAAAATTTAATTATTTTATATTTGTCAAGTGATTCAACCGGATGACCCAATGATTTTGGTTACAAAAAATTATATTAAATTGATTTTTTAATATTATTATGTTACATGCTTTACTTTCACGATTCATGTATAGTTATTATCTTTGAGTCAATGGCCGAAGTAAATCCGAAATAAATTATTTTCTTAGACGATCAAATCAATTCGCCGTTATTGAAAAACAATATCTTGACAACGCACAATAAAAATAAACAAGAACAGCTACTAAACAATCGACGTGTTATTATTATTAAATATATTTGTTTTTGCTGTACACCAATGAAAATAACGACAAGTAAGAAACCAAAGATATTATTCCAACCTCTAATTATGAATAAAAAAATATAGCAAAAGTATGTAGGAAGATGGATTTATGAAAATGATTAATGATGAAGCAAGAATAAAAAACATTAATTTTTAAGGACGTTGGTATGTATTATAATGATACGTAAAAGTTTGAATGTTTTAATATCTTAAAAATTTTTTTTTTCAAAATTTTTTATAACATTGAAATACTATTTCATAAAAGAATTGAAAATTGTTTATAGGCTTTTTTACAAATTAGTATTTGTGAATTAGCATAATTTACCATTTTTATACAAATTTCCATGTTTTAAAAAATGTGTTTTTTTCTACTATTGAGACAATATATTTATGGAGATTTTAGAATTCTTCCTATCTTTTTTTATTATAGTTAGTTTGACTTAATTAATATGATTCGTCAACTACATCAAAAATGTGATTATTTTAGTAACTTATATTTATTGTTACTGATATTTTTGAGAAAAAAGTATTTTTCAAAAATTAACCAGTATACCTAAAACTGCATCCAGGTTTCAGGTACCTCTAGAGACTATAAAAATGTATTTAAAAATCTAAAAAAAATCAGAAAATTTTATTTTACAATTCATTTTTGTAAAAATTTGGTAACATAATCAGAAAAAAATTTTCTTTTGAATCATCCTAACCTACACAAATATTATATTACTCACAGATACTTTTAAATGAAATATTGAGTGAATAATATGAGAAACAGTACATTTTAATAATACTGGATAGATATTTGTATTAATTATGTGATATGTTGAATGAATTTTTAAATTCTATGTTAACATTACCACTATTCTTCAAATTTACTGACATTGGTTTAACTCAAATTATTCAAAAATAAACTTTTGGCATAAAGTAATTTTTAATAGAAATAAGTAATAACCATTAACAACAATAGTAGTACATAATAATAATAATAATAATGAAAATAAAATATTGTGTTCCATAAAATTCACTAGATGTTAGCATGGGTAGCACAATGGTTTTAAAATAACATGTAAACCTTAAAATAACTATAAAATATGTTAAACAAATATCATAACTAAATAAGTTTCTTTTTACAATGAGTTGGAATGGCAAATAGGGTTCAATTCTATAATTTTAATAACATAACTTACAATTTATAAAATATTTTAAACGGTATTAATATTCCAAATCCCTATTAATATTTTACAAAATATATTACAGTAGCAATAGAGTATTTAGTACATATTCAAAAACAAAATTATTATTAATCCTTAAACTACAAAAATATATTTTTTTCATCAGTCAAAATTGAAAATAAATAAAGCACTTAGATGTGTTTACATGTGAAAATTTCTGTCAATAACAATTTGGGGGATTGTAATACATTGAAACAATTTTACTATATTATTAATATTATGGTTGAAATACGCTCAACTGGTTTAATTTACAATAATTCTTCAATAAGGATCCACCTTTTTACAATTTATTTTCTAATATGTTTCAAATAAATTTTCTTTTTATACACATTTAATTGTAGTTATATGGACAGTTTAAAAATGCATTAAATCACAGTGAAATTACTTACAAGTTTACAAGTGAAAACAAAAATAAATATAACAATTGTTAGAAATGTATAAGCAAAAAACAAAAAAAGAATTTGTAAAAAATTAAAGTATTTAAATTGAATGATATACACCAAAAATAATTAATTAAATGTTTAATCTTAACAAAAATTAAAATTCTGAAAATAATTACAGAGATTTGCATAATATAATAGTAACAATGTGTGCAAAATATAATTATTTGTCAAGTGATTCAACCGAATGACCCAATGAATCTGGAATACAAAAAATTATAATAAATTAATTTTTTTAATACTACCATGTTGCATATCTTACTTTCACGATTCATATAGTTATATCTTTGAGTCAATGGCCGAAATGCGGAAGACCTTTGTGGAGGTGGTGGAGAACCAGGTGATAGTGATCGATTGTGCCTTCTTACTAGAGGAGCTGGTGGACTTGGAGCTTGACCTAAAGCACCAAGTGGTGGTAACCGTTCGTTAGTTAAAATTGGAGGAGGCGGTTCAAAATCAAGTAATGAAAGTAATGTGAAATCTGGAGACACAGTTGGCAATGGTATGTCCAACAGTTCATCTTCAAAGTCTTTGGACGAATCTATGCTTTCTATAAAATAAATAAGTAAAGAAACATTAAATTATATTTTAACTAAATCTTGTTATAAATTAAACTTACTAGCACCATTTTCAAGTTTTTTATCAACCATGGTCAACTTATTTCTTAGTTGAGCAGTTTCAAGTTCCATTTCCTTAAGTTTCCTCTCAGCTTGTCTGAATGATATCTTTATAAAAAACAATAATAATTTTAACCACAATTTTAATAAATTAAATATAAGCAGTGTTATGCACAGATAATCAAATAATTATTATTTAGATAAGATAATAGATATTTTTTAATATAATCATCTAGATAATAGATTAATTTAAATAAAATTATCTAGATAATACTTCAATAATTTATAAAAAAAAAAACTATAGCTTATAGCTGATATGAAAAATAAAAAACATAATATATAGTAGGTCATACGCATTAATAATCAGAAAAGTTATTTTATATAAATATTAAAATATGATATATCACTTTAAGTGTAAATGTGTAATATAAGTCAATTAATGCGGTCATAAAATAAATTATAACAATACGTATTGTTATTCTTTAGTTGACTTTAGGTATAGTAATTTTTCAAGTGTTGTCTTTTAGACCATTTCTTCAAGATGTGCGTATTTGACTGTCTGCACAAAAATAATCCCTCAACTGGGGCTAAGAAAGGTAGAGTTGAATTGTACTTGAGAAAGACTTGTTTCACAATTAGATACTGATTAAATATAAGCAGTTTTTGCTTTTTTTTTTTAATATCTAAAAAAGTTAGACTTGAACATTTGCTGATAAATTGCAGCTATTATAGATATAAGTATCAGACAATCGATATGATAGCATAATGCATTCAAAAAAGTCTTCAGAATTAGTAGACTGGCTTAGTTATGAGCTATTTATTAAAACAACAAGATTATATTTAGATAAAAATGATTTGCAAGTTTTAAAATAAATGAACCCAGTTTAATCGAAACTTTGGATGGCTAAGAGTTGCTAAAATATATGGTTTGCTTTCAGGTAGATTCAAATCTAATACAGTTTTGTATCATTTTTTTTGTTCTTTAGAAATTACTGAACATAATGGTTGATAATCTAAGTGTGAAGTATTTATAAGTTTCTTCATTAATGAGAACATTGTTAGAGCGACAAAACCCAAAAAAAACATGAATCCTCACCTTGAAATTTATATTTAATGAATAGTTCCAAATTACATTTCTATAAATCTATGGGTTATGTTATTATAATGCAATGAAATAATGTGAATAAATATTGTTTAAAAAAATAAATAAAGTATATAATTATCTGGATAATTTTAAAAAAATTTGTTTTTATTATCTACATAAGACAATAGATAAATAATTAAAAGTTACATAGATAAGATAAAATATACGAAAAATGTGTTTATATAATGCCTAACACTGAATATAAGAAACTTACCCAATAGTCACTAGCTTTTTTATCTGCTGCAGATAATTGAATTTTGAAACTTGTTTCTTGATCAGTTATTTCTTTTTTCAATGATTGAATTTCAGATCTAAATAACAAAACATTTGAAACGATGTATAAGTTTCAAATTTTGTATTTTAAAATTAAGGATTCGTTTTAAAGTATATTAATTTAAAAACAATAATCCTTAAAAGTTATACTACATTGAATAATAATTAATACAATTAAAAGATAAATATTGAATTGATTACAACTATGTGAAACTCTTTTTTTAATATTTAATCAGAATTTTGTTTGAAGGATTTAGAATATAAATCATGAACACTTATGTTAATTTATACATGTTGGTATTTTCACTTTATATTTATTAAGTACAATGTCAATATAAGTGCATTATATTAATACATCACAGATGTGTAAAAGCATGACATGCATATTCAAAAAAATGTAATTATTCTTCAGTGAAAACAAGACTACTTGGCTATTGTAGTGCAACTGGCAGTACTATTAATAAGTTAATCTTATACCAATCAATATTTTTTAAAAGAACTATAAAACATTTTATATTAATTTATATTATGTTAAAAAAGTCTGTCCTAATTTAGAACAATTATCATCAAATAAAAAATCAGTCTTGGTGTAATCACAAAAATCTTAATTTATGATTAAACAGTCTTATATTATCATTGAGTATAATGTTTAAGAGAAATGCATTTAGTACTCACCTGTAATTGATAATTTCTTGATTTAGAGATTTAATATGCTCATTAAGATCGCTAGATTCTCCTTCTCTATTGTAACACAATACTGTTTTCTCATTAATTTGTCTGTAACAAATTCGCACATTATTAATAAATTTTAAAATATAACTTTACTTTAAAAACTAAAATCATATACAAATAATATACAAAAGAGAACAATAATAAAATAACATAAGTTATACATACTTGAGGTACTCCTGTTCTTGTTCTTTAAAAAATTTCGTTAGAATATTCAATTTGTTCACTGACTCTTCATTCATTGTTTCTAATTTTGAACATTTATTTTCCAAATCCACAACATCACTTTTCAAATTTTCAATATTATCTGCAATGTTCAATAATATTAATTATTTTTCTTATTTTTAAAACATTAATCACTAAAAATTATTATTTAAGTATGTTTAACCTAGGAATTGTTGATTTGATTTTAAAGCTTCGTTCAATTTGTGTTTGTATCCTTCAGATATGTGTTTTGCTGATTTGAGTTCAGCAGATAATTTAACTGAAGATGAAAAATGTTTGCTATCTGCTGGGTTAAATTTCTGTGACAAGACTTCCTGTAAAGCATCCTTTGACAAAGAAACTTCATTTTCTGCAGTCATTAATGCATGAGTCTGCTTGTCCAGTTCAAATTGCAAACTATCTATTTCAGCAAGCAGTTTTGATTCTTTTACTTTATTTTTAGTAATAACCTAAAATATAATGTTTAGTAAGTACCAATAATTAGTAATTAATTTATTTAATAATTATAAAAATGGTTCAGTGATATATTTAAAATTATTTTATCACCAAGACATTTTACTCTGCCATCTTGAAGCTATATTTGTTTGTAAGTTGATAAATGGTGTACAATATTTGGAAAATCAAATCTGTCTATAAAACAATTAAAATTTGTTCTACCTAACATTTGTTTCAACTAGCATATTACAGGAAGTTGTTTTTACAATAATAACTAAACTAAAAAAAAAAAAAACTAAGTTTAATCTGATTTTAATTTAAAAAATAATAATAGCAAAACTAATTTCTCTATTTATATTATTGGTTTCAAGTAACAAACGTTAAAACTATATAATTATTCATAGTAATTGGTAATAAGAATAAGATATAAATTAATTATTTATACTAAATATAGAATTAAAATAAATATATGCATCCGAAAGAATATTAAAACAAGCAATTCTATTCATATTAAAAGCTGTTATCATGGATAATAGTAGTTAATTTTAAGTTATATTTAAAAATCTCATCACTCACTTTTTCTAATTGTGAAGATAGTTTAGCATTGTCTTCAGCTAAACTATTAGTTTTGCTAGTTAACTCTTCTACATTAATTAAAAGAGCTTTTCCAGTGTCGATCCTTTTTTCTAATTCTATAGATTTTTCATAATTCTAAGCATAAAAAATTATTTAAACTCAGGTATTTGAACAAATAAATTATATTTTATAAATAGATTTTACTTTTTGTGTAAGAGCTGCTATCAAATTTTCTGAATCAGCCAATTTTACTTTCAAAGCATTTAATTGTTCTTTATTTCTTGTACTAGATTCTAATGCAGAAGATAATAATGTATGCATTTCCATACCATTTTCAGTTAATTCTACAATTTCTTGTTCAAGATTTTCAATTCGTATGGCTTGAGATGATATAATATCCTAAACATAAAATTGTCATTTGTGTTAGATAATTTATTAACAAATAATTATAATAAATAAAATGACTACCTCTGATTTAGTCAAATGATCATTTAATGATTCAATTTCATAATTTTTTTCTGTTGACTAAAAAGAAAATTATAAAGTAAAGTTTATTAACAAGCACCTAAATATATTCTTAATTCATAAAAAAAACTTACAGATTGTGTATTTCCAGAATTTAGTTCTTTTAATAATGATAATTCTTTTTCAACAATTAGTAAATTTTGATCTTTAGCTGCTAGTAATGTTAACAAATGATTTTCATATGATCCATTCTAAAAATAATTTACACATTATAAAACTGTACAATAAAATGTAAGCAACAAAATAAATAAAATTATTAATTATTATAATAATAATACTATAAAAAAAAAAAAGATAATCATAAATTTAGTTCTTTTGAAGCAATTTTCAATACTAATTGCCTTATTGCCCTTGTAGTAGTATATTATTTTAATTTTAAAGTATACTCTTAATAAAATTTAGTAGGAGTAATTCCACAAAAGTTTACTAAGTATAACTATAGTTCAATTTGCAATGTCCACCAAATTATTTGAAATGTCAGTGAACCATTTTATGCATATTAGATATATTTATATATATTTACTTGATATTTATAATAAATTAGAGAAAATAGTAATGTAACTGCAGCCACAACAATGAAATACAATTCTGAATGTTTGATATTCTTATCATGTTCATTAATTTTCTGGAAAAATATTTTTTAACAAATACTTATCAAGTTTAAACTTTAAGTAATAGTAACATTTGTATTTTTTTTTTTTTTTAGTATTTTTAACTCACTTGGTTTTCAACAGCATCAATATATACATCTGTAACAGTACAAAATTATAAATAAATGTATTTCATTTTTAAAATATTGGTTATTCTTACTGTATATCATAAATATATAATGAATTTACTGTAGTTTATAGTTAGTATTTGAGTAATTAGTAAACTCCAAGATAATTTGTACTTAGGATAACCCAAAATCATAATATCATAGATAAAAACAAATTATCTATTGACATACTTAATACTTAATAAAAATATACTAATTAATTTACTTTTTATAAATTGGTGATTACATGGACGAATAGGGATTTCTAATTGACCAAGAAAAATTAATGATTGAAGAACTTCCACTACTGGGGAAAATTATAAAACAAAGAAACTAGGTATTATAATAGATCACAAATTTTTTTGTATGACATTAATCAATAATTAAAATGAAATTTAAATATTCAAGTATAAGTTGTCTCTTTCTATATTATAATATTCATCAAATTATTTTATACTTGACAATTTAAAAAAATATGATATGTTATTGAATCCAGTTGGTATTAAAGTTATCATATAAAGATATGCAATAAATCTTTATAGAATAACCTTGTGTTAATTGCCAGTATCTGTTATATATATATGGTGTTTTATAATATTTACTTTATTTTGTAATAACTAATAATTATATTTAATATTAAATTAAATATATATATTATCTTAACTATTGAAGGATTGTCAAAAATAAAAATTAAACTAAAACAACTGTAAAATGAATTTTTCAAAAGTTAAAATATAACTATTAATTATTACTTACCGTTATATTCACTAGTGTTATCACCAAAAATACTCCAAATAAAATCAATTGAAATCATAGTAGGAGATGATAACCAATTTTGAAGATGATTTAAGAAATTCAATTCCACTTCTGATTGCTCAGTTATTTTGTTAATTATACTTTCCTTTTCTTTTTCATAGCCAATACTAGTTGAGTGTGAAATTTCATCAGGATTTAAAATTCTAGGAACTGGATTTAAAGGCTGTTGAGACTTAAGTGTTTTATCCACGTTCCTTTTAAAATTAAGACAGCTAACTCCACTACAAGTCTCTGGGTGACCAAAAGATGCCACAAAACTTTTGGGTACAAATTCTTTCAACTGTTCATTATTATTAAGTTCCATAGATTTATGAATATTTTCAGAGGGTAATTCCTTATTTTCATGTGTATACTGATGTTGAATTTTTTCATTATCATACTCTGGGGTATTGTCTATTGATTTCAAACATTCAGCTGATGTACACTGATCAATTGATTTTTTATTTGATATTTCTGTTACATCTGGTTCATTAATAATTGTTGTATGGTAATCAGTAGGTGAAACAATTTCTGGTGAATTAATTAATTCCTGCAATGTGGATGAATTTGTTATATTACTATCAGTTGAATCATTATTTAAAACATTAGATTCAACATTAGGTAAATTATCCTTTTGAATATAATGAGATTCAGGTTCTTTGTAATCATTAGATAATACAGGTATATCAATTAAAGTTTCACTAACTGGCTGATTTATAATTTCATCTCTTAAATTCTCCTTAGTAAACATAATATTATCATTTGAGATTCTATTTTCATCATTTATTTCTATAATTTCTTTTTCTAATAAAGGTGATTGTATATAATTATCAGTATTAACCTGTTGATTTCCTGCTTCAGTGATAGGTGATAAAGAATCATTATTTATATATTCGTGTTGAGATTTATTCAACTGTTCTGTACCATCGTTATTAACTTCAACTGTATTGGAGTTTTGTGACTCAATATTATTAACTGACTCGTTTATTAAAATCTTTGTTTTTTCTTCTATACTTGATAATTGTTGCACAGTTTGTTCTTCTTCACTTTTTGGTTGATAAGAACTGTTAATATTCAAATTGTTAGTACTTTTATTAATATCTTTTAAACTAACTTCTATACTAGAGTCTTGTAGCACTATATTAGTGTTAACTGATTCTTTTATTGAGACATCTATTTTTTCTTCTTCACTTGGTAATTGTTGAGTAGTTTGTATAGGTTTACTTTTTTGATTAGAATCATTTATATAGAACATTTCAGTGCTATCATTATTATCTTGTAAATTAATATCTATATTAGAGATTTGTGAAGCTATATTAACTGATTTTATCGAATTATCTGTCTTATCTAAATGTGATGGTTCTTGGATATGTTTTTCATTTTCTATTTTCTGTTGATATGAACTGTTCAAAATAGTTTCTTCAATACTATTATCTTGTAATTTTACTTTTGAATTAATATTTGTTGGTGGCATATTAGTTGGTTCTTTTATTAAATTATCTGTTTTATCTAAATGATGTGATTGTTGAGTTGTTTGTACATTATCAATTGTTTGTTGAAAGGAATTGTCTGTACTCTCTGGAGGAATATTACTTTTCGAATTTTCAGTATCAATGTTTTCATTTATTTCTTTTACACAAGAACCTGAAGAACATTCTACTGAAGTATCGTTTTCCAACTGCTGCTCATTAGTTGATGTATGGGTATTTTGTTGGTTTATAGAATTAGATTTATAATTTTTTTCAGAATTAACAGAATCAGAATTTAAAATCTGATTACTCCTTGTAAATAAAATATCATTAACTGCATTTTTATCTATATTACTATCAATGCTACTGATTGTTGATGGTTTTTGAACTAAAATATTATCTACATCAAATTCATCTTCACTCTCGATTTCTATGCTATTATCTATATCATTATCATATTCAGAAGAAATTGAGTCAGTTTCGTTACTTAATTTTTCATCATATTGCTCAGTATTTTTTATATTAACATCTTGGAAGACTTCTAAAGTATCAATTCCATCACTTTTCTTAAAATGCATTTCATCTGTATTTGTACTAATATGAGAGATACTGGAATCATTGTCGTTTTCTTCATTACTTAGATTGCTTGATTCGCATAATTCTAAATTATTTTTAAGAACATTTACTTTAAACTTCCAATGTTCATCAGTGGCCAAATGAAATATTCTAATATGGTTTTTGTGGATTTTAGATATCTTACCCTAAAATAAAATAAAATAACAAACGATATAATGAATAAAAAGTAAAAATTAAACAAATTATTTTAAAAGATTTTTTTTTTTGGAAATTATGTAATATAATTAAAATATAAATAATTAGTTTACCTTCAAGCTTTTTATCAAAAACATGTCGTTATTTTGACCAATAATAGTGACATTTTGTTTTGGACTAACAAGAAGTCGGCCCACAGAGATTTTATCTAAATTCAAAACAGATTAAATGTTATTAGAATTATTGTTAAATATGGTTTGTTAATAAAAATTTAAATATTCTTAGTAAATAAAATATGTAGTAAAAAGTTTCAAATACTAACTAAAATATTGAAACCCGTGCAATTACTATAGTACAATTTACAAATACTTTAAAAATTATTAATTTCCAATTTAATCTATATACAATGAAACACTAGTTTAAATCGTATAAAATAATGTTATACCATACTAAACGGATATTCCAAACCACTTACCATTCACCAATGCACTGTCACACTCGGGAGTTAGACACTGAAACTCAAATACAGGGTCTGAGCCGCACTGTGCCGCCGGTGAACAGACATCAAATATCACTGAAGTGATGACGATTATTTTTAGTATAAACATTGTTCACGCTGTTTGAGCGTTTCAAGTCATCTAAACAAATAAATTATTTTCCTAGACGATCAACTCGCCGTTATTGAAAAACAATATCTTAACACGCACGATAAAAATAAACAAAAAACAGCTTTTACGCAATCGATGCGATATTATTAAAATATAGTTGTTTTCGCTGTGAACTAATGAAAATAACAACAAGTAAGAAACCAAACAAATTAACAACTGCCGTGGTCTGTCTATGTCTTATGCCCAGAATTTAGCTATCAGATTTATTTAGATCAGTTGTGAATGAAAGTAGAAGACGACGTCCGCGGTTTGGAGCCCGTTGATAAGGCAGGCGGCTCGTGAATGATTATACGTGGTTGTCCTAACACGTTGACAAACAGTAATCACTAATCAGCTGACGCCCTTGAATTATGCTAAATGGCAAATGCTATAATTAAAAAATTATAATTATATAACTACTCTATAAGTCTACAATATTACGAATTACACCAAGTACCTGTAAAAATATTTATTATATATTTTTACTATCCCGATCCCATTCCCTATTTTGTTCAATTCCGAAGCAGTACCTATAGGTATCTATGAAAATTAAAATCGAGTCACTGGAAAAATTACCCGTAATTCTCAAAAAATAAATAAATAAATAAATATTTTTCTAGCCCTGTTATAAAAACTATACTAGAGTATTAGTTCACTTAGGTTTTTCTTTCTTTATATGTTTCAAACTTTAATTACTTATAAAATATAAAGTAAATATCTATACATCAAATATTCATTGCCAAGCCTCTCGAGTACCGGAATACATGTATTTTCTTTTAATTATAGAGATTTTCTCAGGGGACTTATAGCGTTTAGTTCGATTTATGGAGTTTTTCGAATTAACGAGTGACGACTGTATTAGCAGTTACCTATTAAGTGGAGGTGTGTCCTAGAGGTTGATCTCCCAATTTTTTTTTCTAGTTATATTCATTACTGAAGTAAGTATTGCAAAATATATCGATGAATGACGAAATATTTTGAAACTGCTTTGAAAATTAAACAATGTTTATTGTTTTCTTTAAAAGATTTAAATGGAATAGACATTTATTTCAATCAATCGGAAGAATCGCGGAAGTACACAATTAAGTATTGAACGACTGGAAGTAAAAAGACGTCTACCTTTAATACTATGAGGTTTTTTAAGTTTTTTAAGTTTTTTTTAAATTTATCTATAACAATTGTAATAATGAGAAAAAATAGAGAAAAAAAATAATATGTGGGGAATGTATCTGAAGATAAACTTTTGCATTTTAAAGTTTAAGTGCTGGAAAATATAATCACTATAAGATACCAATATTAAATTCACGTTATTATCTTTCTCTCGATCTTAGAAATGTTTTCGAGGTCGTGTAGTCAAGAATTTGATCAAGTAGATAATCCATAATGTAAATTTAATGTATAAACTATAATAATAATATGTACTATAGGTATTATAAACATGCACCAGATTCGCAGTAGTGAATGTATTATGAATATTATGATTGTTAGGTATAAGTAAGGCATCACAAATGAAAAGACAACTCTTTTAGCGTTGTGCCCTCACAACACCACTCATGAGTGAGTGTGTGATAGTGATACATTTATTCAATAGAGAAAAAAGTTAAAAATTGAAACATACTATTGCCAATTGTGTCTTCAATTTTCACATTACTCTCATTGCATATAATCAGATAAGCTGAGAGAAAATTTGAGGAAATGGAACTTGAAACTGTTCAACTGAGAAATTAGTTGACCATGGGTTATAAAAAACTTGAAAATGGAGCAAGTAATAAGTTTAATTAAAACATAAGTTAATTTTTCTTTACTTTTTTTTATTTTATAGAAAACATAGATTCGTCCAAAGACTGAAGATGAACTGTGTAACATATCATTGCCAACTGTGTCTCCAAATTTCACAAAAGAAGCGATGAAAGGAACTTACAAAAATCAAAGCCGGCGATTCCATCAGTATACCTACCTATATATATTTTAAAGTATGGGGTTAACGACGTTAACTATAAAACAGTTTTCTTCAGAGTTAAAAATTAAAGTAAAATTAAACATATTAACAATTTGTAGTGAATTAGAATTTAAAAAAAAATCAACCAAAAGAAGCCATGTAAGCTTTTCGAGTTCAAGCCTAGCCTTCTTCAAGTCACGAATTTTCTGAAGCTATGCGTCCATATCCTCTAGAAAACCGTATAGAAAATTTATATCCTGAAATAGATAGCTCTACTACATCAACTTCATTTGACAATGCATTTAATTTCTTGTTTATTAATTTAGCTATTTCCACCGAAATAGAAACTAACATTAGACGCCGATAGTTAAACTAATTGGATTTCGGATAAGATACCAAAATATTTTACTGTACCATCTTACTCTATATTAGTGAAGAATTGACAGGATATGTAAAGTGGGAAAATAATATTTTAAATCTTTACCTACTAAAAATATCCATTTGTCTAACGATTTTTTAGTTCAATTCAGAATGGTTTAGTTTAAAAAAAAAAAATTATTTTGCAATGCTATTAAATGAAGTGCAAAATCAGACATTATTTGTGCACTATTGTGCACTGTGCAGTAGATTTAGAAAGTAAAATTAACAACTGCATGTTTATCATGTAGACGAATGGACAATATACACCGGTATATTACATAGTCGCACAGGTAATATTTTTCAGTAGGAAGACTTGACTAAACAGACTGTTTATAGAGGTATGTTTATGTGCTTCAATCTAAAATTGTACCTATGGGATATTGTGATATATCAATGACAATATATCATAATTATCATTATATAAAGAGATCACTTAATAGTTTATTTATTACATTTAAAGTTTTATTTATATAGTAGGTATAATATTAATATATCAATGTATAAATAATTATATATAGTACTTTCTAAATTTACATAATTTATAAGTTATTTTAATACTAAAATAAAAAAAAGAAGATAAGTAGGTATTGACAATATTTGTATTATGATTATATCATAATCTATACTTATAAAGTTATAAATATTAAATAGAACCATCAGTACCTACCTACTAAAATTACTTTGGTACAGATAAAAGCGGATAACTCGGTTGGTATTCTATAATAGGTTATACACCTGTAATAATATTTACGATTGCACCATATAAATTTTAATTAGGTACCTAGGTACATAGGCGCATATTGGGTGTGAATTTAGGGGTGCTGGAATAATTAATGGTACACAGATCCGTGGAGAGCTTTGTCCTCCACACTCTTCTAATACCATAATAAACTGCATTGCAATAATTTAAAATTTTTATGATTAATATTAAAGAATAAACAAATACTTAAAAGTACTTATATTATAAATTTATAAATAGGGCTGGGATTTTGAAGCAAAGGCATCTTTTTTCTGGTGTATTAAGTGATACTGATTATTGTAAAGTAATTTTTTTTTTTTTGTATTTTTAAGTGCATTTTAAGTAAATTGTTTTGACTATTGTAGGGCATTTTTTTAGTTTTTAGAGAATTTTTCACAATTTGTTCATAAAATGAACAAAAATTGTTGCAAGAGACTTTCGACAAACTGTTGGCGATATGAATATTAAATTATATAGCTCGATAAGTTATTGTCGATAACAATCTTTTTTAAATTATAATTTTAGAATGAATAATTAAGAAAACAGAAGTACAAGAACTAAATAAGTAACAACCACCAATACTATAAAAAAAATAAAAAAATACAGTAGGTACTTACTGTAATATAATTTTAAATTTTTTCTCCAATTTTTAAGCTATAATAAATATAATTTAAATACATTTTTTGTTTTTAAGTAATTTTTGAATTTTTGAGATTTTTTAGGGTATTAAAATTACAGCCCCATTTATAAATAATAATAATATGTGACTACTAATTAATGGTAATCAAGATAAAATTTTCTGTTTGATAATGTACATTTTTGCAATATGATTCCTCCATCTATTTTGTTAGTAAATAGAAGACTAGAAGAATAAGTTTTGTTGGGTGGCTAAGTGGCTTCTAAGTTTATAAGTTGTTAGTCAATTGAACTATAAAGGATAACAAAAGTGTCGGAATTAATGTCATTGATTCAAGATTGTTCTAGATGCAGGCTGATGTTAGTTAAATACCACATGGTTACATAGCATATATTTTTCAATCTTAGAATAAAATTATCTAAAAAATATATATTTATACAAATTAACTGTGCTACTTTAATCTATGGTTGTACAAGTAGAAACTAGAAACACAGTATAATATACTAATCTGTTCACGGAATGAATGTAAAATTTTGAAAAATAATAGTACGGACTGAATGCAGTAAATTGTATGTCTGTATATACCTAATAATTTCATTAATACATAATAATTGAATACTTAACAAATAAGGTACTTGTGAATACCTTCAAACTTTCCATACTTTGAAGTTTGTATGCAATTATGTCATGCCTCATGTATGGTAAGTATTCTCGACAACAGGTTTCAAATTACAAATATGTTAATGTATGCACACATTTTAAATGCTACAATATCCAGAAAAAATTCAAACTTAAAATTAATTAACCAGACATTTTTAGTAAGTGAAATACTTGTATGGTACCTAGTTTATTTAAATTTTAATATTTACTAAGAACAATAATTAATAATTATTAAGTATAAATCATATAATTTCATAGCAACTAAATCTCACAATGAATTGAAACTTTAAAATACAGTTATTTATCAAAATACAATTATTATACTATATTCACTTAAATGATCAAACTTGAAAAAGTATGTATTAACATAGGTACTGAACAGATTAAATGTATCAGATGTTTTGATTATTCATAATAGTTAATAAATAAATAAAGTAAAAATAATTAATAGAATCAAATGTTTTGTAATAATTATTTATTTTAAATAATAAATTAAAAGAACAAAATACATTCAACAGGGTTTTAAATAGAAAAAAAAAAAACAAACATATTTTTATTTAAACATTATAATTGTACAGAATTTAACTTAAAATAAATTAGACACAGAGTTCAAACAATCACAGTTAATAACTGATCATAGAATGTATAATATATATATACTGGTAGACATATGAAAATTTACAAAATATGATTTCATTAATAGATGGGAATATTATTATTATTTTTAAGCTAGAAAATTGTACAATCTGGAAAACAATAATTTACAATAAGCACAAGTGATTAAAGAATACAATACAATTTAGACAGGGGGCTTGAGTGGAGAGACCATCCATTGATGGAACTTCATGGGGAATATTATAAATTGTAATAACATTCCAAGAAAATGTAAACAACATTTTAAAAATGAAATCGAGATCAAACTAATTCTTAATTGAAAGAACATAAAGATATTTTCATAGAAATTTAATTAAAACAGATGAAAAATAACATAGATTTTATTAGAATTGATCCAATAAAGTTGGTAAATATTTATGTAAATGATGTGAATTTTAATTAAATATTAAAAACTATGAATTTATGTTGTTTAGAATTAGAAAGAATATCACAAACATAAAACATTTATAAAGCTTTAATTAGGAAGAAAGTTTAATACAATGAACAACCAATAATAAATTCCATAAGTACACTTTAACATTTGAATTTAATTTATTTGTTACTGTCCCAACAAATTGACACATGATTTACATACTTTGAACTGTCAGGTAATTAATAATGAAAAATGATCTTATAAAATTTGTTTTTAAGTGTCATGTATTGAAGTTATTACTCTTTCAAAAAAATAAAAATAAAAAACATAAAAATAATAAAATACACACTTAGTTTATTTCGATTTTTTGGAAGTCTTTTCTGGTTCCATTTTATGATCTTCATAGCTGTAAAATAATATTTATAAATGAATTATTTCAATTATAATTTTTTGTATGCATACTTTTAATTTTAACATACCTGAATAAGGTTTTAAAATCGCCACGTACTAAAGCTACCAACATAGGAGTAATTAAACACGCAGGTACCAAGTATAATAAAGCTGGCTGAGCTGCTTTAAAGACGTGCATAACAAATACAGTGGTAAGTAATCCCAAAATATAGGCCAAAAATGTCGCGTTGAAATATGTATTTGTCTTACGTTTTAAGCTATAAAATAAAAAATTATATTGAAGTATATTATTTTTAGTTTAACAATCAAAATTAAATAAGAATATACCTCTGATCAAATCTTAACATGAATGCAATAAATATTCCTGGGATAACAATATCGCCTAAGCCCAACATAGCAAAATTTTTAGCAGCCAAAACACCATTTTCTAATAAATCTTGAGGAAATACAACTGCAATAAAATATAAATAAATTAGATTAGAATAAAATATATTTCTATCAATTATAAAAATTACAATATTTCATTTAAAAAATAATAAATTATTAATTTTAAAACTAACGTTTGATAGGAGCATCAAAAGATTTAGCTACAGTAACCATAACATTTGTACCAAACACCCAAAATATATCATAGACAAATAAACCACATAAGAGGATACATCCAATTTTAATGGTGTTGAGGTGTAATAATTCTATTCCATTTATAGCAAATGCCAATCCAAATATATTGTTTGCGATCCAATGCTAAAATTAAAAAAATATATACGTATAATTAAGAATATTAATAATAGGATAAACTAATTAATAAAATAATACCTTGCTATATAAATAAAATGTTCCTAATGCTGCGCACAAAAACAAACATAATACTTCATGTAATGTAAATTTTACATTAATCCAATCAGTTTTATTTTCACCCGAGTCTTCAGTAAACTCCAATTGGAATTTAGTGTTAGGTACACTTTTTGGTAATATGGCGCTGAATTTCTTACTAAGTAAAAAAATATAAATTGTTGTAATATTTAGAGTATGTAATTCTCATCTGTTTTTGTAACTAAATGTAATAAAATTTTTACCCTATAAGATTACTTAAAGCTGCCACTCCAAGTACATAGAAATATAGAGTTACTAATAGATTTATGTGTTCCTTAGAAAATACCTATAATTAAAATAAACAATATACTCAATATAGATACATTTTTTAAATATCAACAATACATTAACAATTTGGCATAATTATTTTCAATAAGATTGTATAATATTATTTGATACCCTAAAAATTATGTAGAGTGTAAATAGAGCTCCACTAGCAATCAATGGAAACATCATAGCATCTTTTTCTGTCATAGACTCTGGTACTTCTTTTTTCAACTGTAAAAGGAAGCAAGATCTTAGCAGATGATTAATTACAAAATATGTTAGCCAACTGGAATACAAACTTTATTTTTGATCTGCAATTCAACTGATCGGAATGACCCAAAGAATATAGGCACCAACGCCATGATCACTAAACTGGTGTATGCAATCAGCATACCTTCAGTAGTGGCTGGTAGCCTTTTGAGAACAGGCTCCGTGTCCGTACCATTTGTTTCGTTTAATGTTTTAATTATATCATCTACGACTTCGGCCATTATTCGTAAAGTTGAGTTAAACAATAAAAATAATAGTGAAGCAAACTTAAACTGATTAATTTAAATGATATGCATATACTAAATATCTTTTCTGGAAGACGAAAAGTCGAGAAATAACAATCTTGATTCTTGAATCTATTGCGATATGGTGAAACGTATACACGAGTCACAACACATCTCAAACTATACACTAAAGTATAGTAAACTGTATAGTGATTAGTGACAAGACACTTGTCTCGGTTTAGTTGTGATGTAGATAAACGTAAAAAGCGCACGTCAACCAAATTATGTGTCATCGGAATCCGTTATAAATTTCTCTCCAACACACACGTTGGTCACGCTGTAAATTATTATTTTTTTTTACCGTTTTCATTTTTTATTCGTCAGGATGCCAGACCTGTAACCGACGCACCGTAGGCGGCCACTATCGCCAATGAATGTCCGATGGAAAGACTACAGGGTGTCGCACGAAAATGAGATAACAAAATAACCGCCAATCTCCTCAGTTTGTCCGTAGACCATTGCACGTTTGCGCCATTTTTCGTTTTTTGTATTTAGTATTTAGTATTTACTGTTTTTTATTCTCCTAAATTGTTGAAATTGACCCCTGTGTGAACCTGACGAACCTGGAATATTTAGCATTTGAATATACCACACGATTGTTAGTGACTTAGTGTTGCATATCTGTTTTCTATGGAACATGCTTGTGGGTATTAAATCCAGCCATAGAAGATAGAAGCGTTTTACAAGTTACAAGATAATAATTGTTCACAGTTAACTCAGTGAGTGTTATTACATACTTCCCGTAACCCATGGACGGTTCTATTTAGCATTAGTGCCACTAACGTATGATCATATTTGGATAAAAGAGTAATCAAGTCAATATAATATTATCCACGATCATGTTAGCAATATAAATCGTTTTCATGAAATTTATTTAGCGTTATGGCAGTGAAAAGAAAGGACAAAGCTGTTAACCATGACAGTCCTGGGAAAAACAAAAGGATTAGGCAAGAGAAAGTTGGTGACTTCTCTGATGATGAAGACTTATCAGATATTGAAGATGCAGAAATATTCAATGGTATACGTATACCGGTCGAGTTACCTCCAATTACATCTGCTGAAGAAAATCCTGGGCCTCGTATGGTTATTACAGAAATTGTTGCTAATAACTTTAAAAGTTACTTTGGAGAAGTTACTATTGGAAAATTTCATAAGGTAAAGACATAAATTTATGGTAGATGTACGATTGAAAATGGTCTTCATTGTCAATACCTTATTGACTCTTATGATTAAGAATGCTAAGTTTTTATAGTTGTATGCAACATTGCCAAATATATAGTAGCATGAAAATTCAAACTCAAAACTCAATACAATACATTATACAACCGGATAGTGGGTATTGTCAAATTAAATATTCTGAAAGACGTATAATATTTTTGGGAAATCAATATTGGGGAATTAAAATATAACTCATTGTTTCTATCTTATTGTTTATCACTTTATAATTTGTATAACTTGTGTAATAATTTATTTATGAGCTTTGATGTGAATTTTTAAAATTGAATATCAAAATATGAAATATATACATGCCATTTATATATGGCAATGTTGCATAGGATTTTGTTCTCAATAATACTGTTTTTTTTAGATGGGTAGTTATTTTATTCTTCCATTTTGAGCATTCTCATGTGTATGCTATAAAAATAAAACATTCTCAATCATATAATTATCAATATTGTGTGTTAATATGTAGATATTTGAGTTATTGCATTGGTTCTTACAAAAAAGTTTATTTGATATATTACCTGAAAAAGTGAGCTTTTAGCAAGGTTAGGTTAGGTCAAAATCAATTATGTCTAATTGATTTCTTATTTTTTGTTTATAGAAAATAGTTAACATAAATATATAAGTCACTCAATAAATAGATAAAAGATTTTAAAGACAGTAATATATATATATAATATCATTGTATTGTCTTAATATCATTTCTATAAATTATTTAAATTATTTTTTTTATTTTAGTAAACTTGGAATAAATCTATTAATTTAAACAATTAAAATTTTAACTTAGCTATAGTTCAAAAATTATATTATTTATCAATAGTTTATGACAATCTAAAAGTTGAAATATAACATATCGGAATGTAAATAAAAAGTTTTATAATACAATATAAATATTATACAAATAAAAGAAAATAATGGTAGAAATAGGTCCATAATTTAATTTAGGGAAGTTAATTAAATTGATAAAGAAATGGAATTTAAATATTATATCAACATAGTTATAATAGATTTGTTTTTGGATTCAGTATGAGAATAAGGCACTGAGTTTAAACAATCTTATATCTCTACATCACTAAATTAAATTCAAAATCTTAATTATTTTTAAAATTTTCTTGGTTTAATTTGTTACTGTTAGTCTAAGATTCATCATCCTTGTTACCATAAAATGGTAATTCTGATGAGCTTAAAATAGAATTGATTGGACAATAAGATGCAACCTATTGATGTTTTCTTTAGTTATTTTTAAACAGTAAGAATTAATTTAATTAAATTGGTATTTAAAAAGAAGTGTCCTCATAAGTTTATAAAAAGATATTGGTTTCTCAGCATTAAATTATGGTACTAGGTGGTTTCACGAAGATGGATATAATCTGTGTTTACCATAAAATGTTTAAAATTTGTCAATGTTTTATTTATTAAAAAGTCTAGGTATATAAAATTGTTTTTTCACTATGATTATTTGAATAAAATAAAGTACCTACAATATTAACAAAATAATATTTTTTGAATTTCTTAGTTGATAGTCCACTAATAAAAATTCAAATGTTTTTGATTAAAATATTGTCATAGATACTTAAATTAATTTTAAATTTTGGAAAAAAACCAATAGATATAATTTTTTTATTTTACTCACAGTTGTTTTAAATAAATTAAAATCTGTATGGTTATTTATACTTGTATTTATGTACATGTCAATGTTGTATGTTATCATTATAGAGAATGGTAATAAATCATCACTTTTGTTGCTAAAAGTTTGTTGTAAAACATCTGTGTAGTTCAAATTTTAGTGAAATTTTGAATTATCAGTGGCAATTGAACTTTTAAATGTGGTCAGTATCAATGTTATGTTAAGATAATTTTGGTTTTTTTTCCAAAAGATGTTACATCAAAATAAAATTTAAATTAATTTACTTTTTCCACTCATCATTAAAGTGACCCAAAAATCTAAAAAATAAAATAATAATTATTTTTATACTTTCTCTAATATACTGAAATACATTAAATTTTGACTATGTTTTAACTATGAATAAAGTGCTATTTGCCAAATCAGTCACAATCTGTTGTAAAAAAATAATATATACTGTAACAAAAACCATCTACATTAATATAACAGTTACAATTCAACTTTTACTAAGTAGATATTTATAATATTACTTATGTTGTTACCAGTTTGTATATACTATAAAAAATATTATTTTTGAAATTGGGAGAGTTAGTTACTTATTGAACATTAGCCACTGAATAGAGCCGTTTTGTATATTTATTTTTATTGTAAATATTTTATCTTTGTTGGTATGCAATTATAATTTTTTAATGCTTTAATGTATATATTGTAAACAATACAATACAAAATGTATTCATGTACATAAATGTAATATATATTTGCAATTTTAAAAGCATCTTTTTATTTTACAGAGTTTAACAAGCATTGTTGGTGCTAATGGAAGTGGAAAGAGTAATGTTATTGATTCTTTACTTTTTGTGTTTGGATACCGATCTTCAAAAATTAGATCAAAAAAAGTATCAGTACTGTTACACAAATCAGATAAGCATAAAGATGTTCGCCAATGTTCTGTTACTGTTCATTTTGTACATATTCAAGATGATGTAATGAATTTTTATTTATTAATCATTTTTTTTTTTTAAATTTTAAAATTGTTTACTGTTGATGTTATAGATTACAGCACAAACTGGATTTGTTCCTATTCCAGGTACTGAAATAAAGATTACACGTACTGCATTTAAAGATAATTCATCATTTTATACATTAAATGATAAACGTGTAAAATTTAAGGATATAGCAATTATTTTAAAGAAAAATGGAATAGATTTAGTTCATAATCGTTTTCTTATTCTTCAGGTAAATTGTATTATGTATTTAATTTGGTATTTTTTTATATAAGCAAAAATATAAGTATAGTTTTGTTAATGGATCTAGGGTGAAGTTGAACAAATTGCTATGATGAAACCTAAATCTGAAAATGACCATTCAACTGGTATGTTAGAATATTTAGAAGATGTTATAGGCACTGTTAGATACAAGGTTAGATTTTTTTTAAATATTTTTATTTATAATTGACAATAGTTTTTTAAAAATAATTTATACTGTAAAATATATAATAATTTGGAATAGGTTTAGTAACTTAAATAATTAAAAAAAAAAACCATTATATTTTTTTCTTATGTGAGTCAATTGCATTTATATTTAGAAACCAATTACTAAACTTGAAGAAAAAGTAAAAGATTTATCGTTGGAAAAAAATGAAAAAATAACTCGTTTGAAATTTGTTGCCAAAGAAAGAGAGGAACTTATTGAACCAGTAGAAGCTGTAATTAGTTATTTAAAATTAGAAAACCGAATCACTCGGTTAAGCAATAAAAAGTACCAAAAAGATAAGTATGTATGATTTAAATTAAAATTATTTTTATTTACTATTATATTATATATAATATATATATATTTAATTTGTAATTGGTTATGTTTATGTATATTATTTTTTTATTAGATTTGATGTTGAATCAACTATAGAATCCAAAACTGAAACTCAAAATAAGATCAATGATGAAATAAATGCTAATGAAAAAGAAATAAATACTATTTCTAAGGATAAGAAGCAATTCGAAAAAAAAATACAAGATTTATCTGAGTAGGTTAATTTTTACTTTTTAAATACTATTATAAGTTCAGCGTTACATATTGATTAAAACATTACCATAATATATACATTATTGGTGATTGTATTCATGGCATAGTGCAAATTACTTATAGTTTTACCTATTCATAATTCCTCATGTTGCTTTATTGCGCCATCTGGTTTCTTCTCACTCTAATGAAAATGTAGTCTGCCAATATCTATCCTTTAAGAGGGAGAGCAGTATTTAACATGAAATAATAAAAATGAAGTAGTATAATTGCCTTACTGTCCACTTTTTTAAACATTGTCTGGGTTAGGGTTAT